TAGCTTTTCGGATAGAATTGTACAAGTGCATTAAAATATAAATATTTTAAACAAAAAAACAAGTATTTTATTACATAGTAAATAATTCATAACAATAAATTACATTTGAAGTTAGCCCTTTCGAGATTTTAACATGTACGCAAAATACAACAGTAGTGTCACACTAGTGGCCTAACATTGAGTGGCAGTTTCAACAAATTAATAACTGGAACGTTCCAACGTGAAATTCGTTATGACTTACAAGACGTAATAACTCATAAATGTCAACCGAGCATTACATTTAATGCACTAAAGAATTATTTCGATTTGTAAAACAAAGGTCAGTAGTGACCATTGTATTGTATTGAACATATTGACCCACTACACAAGTTATAGGTATTAGTTAAAAACAAATAATGTCATGACTCATGAGTCATGACTGTCATAGAGACAGTCATTGCTGCTACCATTTTTCTTCGTTGTCTCGCGAGTTTAGTCTAACTAAAATAAATAATAATATATTATAACTGATTTAATTGCAAAATCAATTGTGTCACTATTGTAATATATTGTAGAATACAATATTTTACATAGTCAACTCACGTACTAGGTACAACTTTAGTTCTTACGTCTCAACATATTATACGGTTTAATTTGTAAATCAAAAAAAGGACAAGGCAATTTAGGGCGAAAACCCAAACGACTATTGCAAATGTAAGTCGTTTATGTTAAAAACTGCGATGAATATGGGTAACCTAACCCAAATGGAAATTAACTATTAACTATTCGCAATCCGCATTCAAAATTTGAAGCAATACAGCAGTAACTTTTTGTGAAGTTGTTTACTAGTAAATAATTCTGGAATCAATAAGTTCTCGAAAAGTTTTCGGTCTGTTAAAATATTTTATATAAATATATATTTTTTTTTTTAAGTGTTTTGGGGGAACGGATTTTTTAGTAACAGAAAACATAGAAATTTTCATATCTAGAACGCAAATAAAATACAATATACACGTCATCCATGAGATAGAAAATATGTACTTGAATTATTTTACTTGGAATAGATGAGACCCAGCCGTCTGGGTTGAGCTTAACTGATTAACGTCATATAGCATTTCTCTTATCGTTTAACTCATTTTCGCCATGCATCGTTCAAACGGTTAAGTCCACGTGTAATTTCTAGCACAAGGTTTTTTTGAATCCATGGCAGAGATTTTATATTTTCTTAAACGCCTTCCAAAATCGGGTATTACCAACCCTAAGTAGTAGGTACTAAATATTTCATAACTTTATCGAATGTTACACCTTTATCCTGTTATAACAAATAAAGTATCTTTTCTATTTTCTTAACTTTACACTTCTATTGAAGAGAAGAGTGAAGTGGGCGTTTTGTACAAAGAAAAGTACTTTAACACTCGTTGTAGACAATTTTACTGTCAATTCATTAAAAAAAACAAATGCGATTTATTTTTACTTACAGCAATTTACAACATTACTTACAGCAATTTCTTTAGAAACTTATATATTAAAGAAAATACTTTTAAAAACAGGGTAAAGAATTTAGGGAAATTATACAGTCAATAGTTACCAGACACAAACGTACTTTAAATATTATGTTATGTATGTGTTAACGTTAGCCTTTGATTTTTATAAGTTAATAATGTTTCCTTGCACGATTTAATTAGAATATATTGTCCTTCCCTTACAAAATTAAATTAGCGTATAACTTTACATTTGGAAAAGATTAAAATTTTCGTCTTTAAAGCACTGGCTGACATATGAGGTTTATAACTTGAGTGAGTGTGGTTAGCTATAAGTTTTTGAACAAGAACCAAACTAAGGAATCTCTAAAAGTTTCAACTAACTCGTCAGAATTCTCGATAGTTTCATACTCTCAAAAAAAGTTTTTTAACCACATTTGACATTTATCTAAGCATCATTCTACTTAGTAAAAATAAATTTAAAAGTTGATAATAAGTATTTTTGAAATTGTCTCTCTAGAGATAATTGGAACCTAGAGTTATCAAATCTCAAAAAAAAAACAATAAGAAAAAATATGTATAAAACAGGTGTTTTCCCCACATTTAAAATCGTATAAACTATACATATATTTTAGTACAGCATAAAATCACTTAATTTAATGATTTTCCATTTTTTTCTTTTTAATTTTATTACAAAATACATTACTAATAGTAAAACTAGTAACCATTATTTATTGTCCTTTAAAGTTTGACAACAATATCATTATAATTACACCGTTTTACGTACATACAAGATACATCGCAAGCACACTTTTTTTATTTTAGCCAGGTATTGATCAAGTTTGATAAAAGTTTGTCGTTGAAAATACCTTTTTTATCTCTTCAACTAACACTATAACAAAATGAAAGATTGTTTCAAAAACACAAACATAATCACGCAATCACAATTTTTATTTATGAAACGCTAATGGACACAATCGATAACAAGTAATGACAATAGCCATTATTCGTTTTAAACTATAAAGACAAATCAATTACAACACGTTTTTCTCACTCAGTTTTAGTTTTTTCTCAGATTTCTTGTATCCCATAACAAACACAAGGGTAATTGATATCGATTAAGTAATTTATGTGAAACAGTCGGCAGAGTAAATCCAGGCGTTAACGTTCTTTCCACCCAATTTCAATCAATTAGATGTAGTTTAATAGAATAACATTATTTTTTATATGATGAACATTTTTAATTTTAATTTTTAATCAAATAACCTACAATATTTATTATAAAATTATTAACGAACTTTTCAGTCGCTTCGCTGGGTGTTGAACAACTCGACTCTTAGTATGGCGCCTCGCCTTAATACCGATCACTGATCGAGTGCTAATTACTTTTCAAAAACATGATATTTCTTACTAATGTTTTCCGTAAAAATTAATGATTATATCAAATTACAAAATTTCTGGTCTTCCTAGTAACAAATTTATGAGTAATTGATTGATTTTAAACTAACTTGAAAATCAAACTGTTGGAAACAATTAGCCTTTTGTTGATTTTTACCCCAAATATGTCATTTTTATTAAGTTTTGACATTGACAACTTCTTACACGAAGCAAATCGTGATCTTTAGTTATGTTAGTTAACTTATGGATCAAGTTACAATTGACTTCACATGCTTCCTCTTAAGTTATAGTGCCTTATTTGAGACAAATCGGTCCACCTTTACATAAATAACGTAAACACAAACATTAATATGTTCATTTGCACATCATATCTAACGTTGTTTAACATTTTTCAACATGAAGGGTAGTTTAAAGGATGAATTGAATAAGTTTTTTCACCCCCTCCTCTTTGTATCGGCCCCTCGAGTTAATTGAATTTCTGTGCGTGTTTAGAGCCAAATTGAACCAGTAGTGTTTACAAAATACACCTGTGTATGAAGAACTTTACATATATCAACCTAGCTTTTAATTAAGTTGATAAGAAACTCGAAAAATATTTTCTAAAAATGAAATACGGTACCAGTCTGTGCAGTAACTATGAAAATCCTTGGTATCGCTAAGAAATAATATGAAAACGTTTTGTCTTAGAAACGTATTGCGCAAATGATAGCAAACCGTTTGATAAGACTCACGTCGATTAGTATTTCCTGAACGTGTCGAATCTGCGGTTCCCAATATTGATTACACTTTAGCCCATTATGTATTTACGGTACTTGGATGGCGCAGATTTTTTATGAGAAAATTTCAACAATTAAATTTAAATATTAGATATCTATTGAGGAACCAACATAATAACCCTTCCGCTACAAAATTTGATAGTACACCACATCTTAATACCTGATGACAACAAAATGAAAAAAATATCGAATCGATAGCTAAGACGTCCACCGTTTCGTTATAACGTGCTCCGCTACAGTTTACGCTGAAGGTGTCAACTATGATTTATTACACAAAATAGTCTACAAAAAAAATGTTTCAACATGTGATTAATATTGTTTGTTGATGAAGAATAACACGGTCGGAATTTAAGGTATGTTAACTTGCAATACAACTCAGGAGTTTCATAAAAAAAATGTAATTGTATTGTGATGGATGTATACAACAATACAGCATGACTTTTTTTACGTTTACTTAAATAAAAATACTGGAGTTTATTTTTTTATATCTCTACAGACCTGTAATACCTGTTGATAGCACAAATTATTTTTTTCATCGAGGCAATAACAACTAACCATTCTTTTAATCCCAATTTAAATAAAAATTATGAAATCAAAAATTAAAAAATTACCATAATAATATCTTTGCTTGTGACCATATTATAAACTAATGAAATTAATTCCTATAATCTATCATACAGTCAAAACCGTTTTGAACTATGTTTTCAATGCGTTAACATTTTGAACGCAGCGGACTTTTGTAAATTTTTGAATTTGTGATAGATTGCGTTTAACTAGAGACAAATGGACGGAAAAATAGTTGAAATAATTGTGTTTACCGCGGTATAAGAGATGCTAGCATAAAAAACGGAAACACGCGCATACGGTAGTGCACGTGGGGGATATGAACACATTTAGGAACGATACAATAATAAACGGTGATCGAGGATTTTGTTTGTTTTTCTGCGAAACATTTCTATCGACCGTGCGGTACTTCCATACACCAGTGTCCGTGTAGCAATCAGTAAACATCTTCACGCGGACGGATGTGCTTAGAAGCGTAAACACATAGTAAAGTCTCGTTTTCAAGTTTTTTTTCCGATACGTTGATGACAGGTGATATTATTATTATTGTTATTTGTTCTGATATCCAATACTACGATTAACTATGACGACCATTTTGGCCGATTCGGGTGTCTCGCAATAATAATAATAATAAAAAAAGTTAATATTGCACCGGTATTGCCATTTAACGGTCAGGCAGAGAGAGAGAGAGAGAGGAGGGTTACATGCGTTAAAAGAGAGGGACAATCGAAAAATAGGAGATGAATAAAGTGCACACGCTACCACCGCACCGGCCGCTTGCTTGTGCAGTGCGAGGCGCAAGAACTTTTCGCCGCAGTCGCTGGCCCGATGGTAGTTTGAGCTTTCGGCGGTTCCAGTAGCAATCCGTCATCGCCACCTCTCGGTATACGCGGCACAACACGACGACACTTCGGACCTCGACTGCGTGTGTTTACTTCGTTATTTTCCCCTTATTTGTTTTCAATAACATTACATCGGCAGTGGACATAATATTGTGAGTGCGATGATGGAACGAGTTTACACAAAGGCGACGTTCAAAGTAAAACTCCAGCCCAGCGTTACGAAAAGAGAAAAAGTTGGTATTAAAAGCGTTTCAGCGTTCAGGTAACCTTTTTTTTCGCATAAAAACATAAACAAATATCTGTTGATAAAAAACGGCGAATTCCGAGTGAATATTCTGGACGCGGTAAACCGATACATTTTATTCATTCATAAATTCAACACAGTACGGTTAAATAATGTCAAACTTGTTTTAATCGTAGAATAAATTATGATGCCTATGTACATTTAATAAACCGGGCAAGTAATAATGCGCATTAATAAAACATTTCGTTGTTATATTTTAACGCGTCCTACGTTTTATTATATCATTAATCGTAATTAAAAAATAAAAACGAATCAAAATCAAAATATTATTGCTATCCCAAAAATCCTTATTTAATCCACACGCCTTCTGTAATTCGTCAACGTCAGTACTAACAGGTTAGGTGTTTTCTAAAAGTTTAATTGGGACCAACCATGTCGTTTAACACAAACACAATGTGGACAATATCTCAACAAGAGTAATTAAATAGACACACACACACTCACGTCCTTATTTCTACGTTTAATTAAATATTTTGATTTATTTTTTGGATTTCCTGTTTTGACATCACTCACTGACATATGTCTACGCGTATTTTTATTTGTAAGTTATTATTAGAAAATATAGCTACATTTCTCCTACCACGCGCGATCTTTAAAAATAATTTAGAACATTTCAGGTAAGAGATCGTTTAGGAGTTGTCATAAAAAAATTAAAAAATATAATTTTTAGTATTTCGTTGTAAGCTGTTCTTCTTCCTTCCTATAACCTTTTATTATAGACTAAAATGTTTATTCCTTAAACTTTAAATACATCATTTGTGCAGCTTAAGTATAAAAAAAAAGGAAAATAAAATAAATGCATAAACAACAACGCAAAATATAATATAAAGTATATAGCTAAACAACGGATTTTAATTTATTAATTCTCATAACTCTCGAGATAGCGGCAGGCTATATCTGTGTACAATATTATTAAACCAACCACTGCAGTCATAATAATACATAATCGTTAAAATAAAAACATTAACCAAATTGTTTTGAGACAATTAAATACTCGGATTTAAAATGCTGCTAATTAAATTATTATCCGATAGTCATTTAAACAAAGTCCGACTTAAGTAAATGTTAACAAGAAACAAAACAACAAATATATACGTATATTATATTTATTTCAAAGTTTTTTACAATTTTTAATAAAAATAGCAATCAAGTAACCGAGTTTTATAATTTATCTCAAAAATGACTAAACAGCTTCAAAATATTTGAATAAAAAATCAGTTTTTTACAAAATTCACAAAAGTATAAAAGTTCAATTTTGTTTAAGCGGCTAAATAGTACTTGAGTGTAAAACCAAAAGATCTTATCCAAAATCGTATATCCTTGATTACACTAAAAAATTTCGGGTGGCTATTAACGAAAAAAATCACAAAATGTTTTTTGCCACGTTTCCAGTGTACTAGTAGTCTTGTCAACTTAAAACGATGAAAATAATGGCTAATTTTATTTATTATAATACGAAAGTATTCCGTTTACCTTTTCTGATAATACGAAATACGTTGTACATGATTTAATTTTTACCACTCCAAGTGTCAGTCCCCTTTGTTATATTTGTCACTTTTAAAGACACGCCACACATTCAGATGTTTTTGCCTTACTCACAAATTGTATTGTGAAAACCGCGACACGTTAGATTGCAAAATATTGTAGTGCGTAGAGCAATTTTCTACTCGAATTGAATCTGTTATTTGAAAAAAGCACATTTATTGTACCTAAAAAGTCGAATAGAACATGTAGGTACATACGAACAGTATATCACCATGTTAGATTGCTGTACACCGGACTGTTGACAACTCAGAAACTCAGAACCCGTTATTATTGTCGAATGATATTATATTTTTGTTTTATAACTAGGGTTAACAGGATTTCACTAAGGTCAGAAACAATAAATACATATTTTGTTTTTGCTTGCGATTCAAATGTTTTATGCGCCTTGTCTATATATAATATATATATATATATATAAATAAAACAACTTTATTGTTATAACACCTTTAAAGTACCTATGCCATTATGGAGTTGTTCACGACCGCGTTTGTCATTAATACGTGTTGGTTACAAAAGTATCAAAAACCCTTGTCCTTTTTTCGAGTGTTATCTCGAATTACTTTTGACTTTAAACCCTTGTCAATCCAATAATATAATTGACCATTTCAACTTAAAATGTATAACAGAAAGGACAATAATAGTTAAGGATAGTGTTGCAAAAACCTGCGTTTACCCTTCGTCATGAAGATTTATAATGTATATAATAATATATATTTGCGTTTAACGTATCTTCTAAAGACGTTAACGTATACATGGTATTTAATTGGCTTTTTACTTTTTTTGTAACTGCTAATAAAGACAAACGGAAAATACAAAATTAAGAAACGGCATAAAAAACAAAACAGCTTAACAAGTAGGTATACCGTAATAATAAAAACACCGAGCTTCCGGCTCGAACACCTACGATAGAACTCGAAATAAAATATCATAACATTATGCTTGTGAGCAAAGCATGACAATCTTTATTAATTGACCTATCAAAACAAAATTAATGATAACAAATCGGTTCATCATACATGGTTATTATTTACAGAATGATATCCGTTCGATGTAATTATAAATGTAGTACTAATACATAAATCTAGAAACGCAAATTACCAAAACAAAAATGATTGATTATCATTAATAACATATTTCAATATAGAATACTTGAAACTAAAAAAATTATAAAAATATATGCATGTTTAAAGACTATTACTGATTATAATCAATATAGCTAATAATAAGTATTAAAACGTTTTTTGTAAGTATTTATATTAATCTTAATGGAAAATTTTTCGCAAAAACAAGAATTTCGCAAAAAAAAAAAACAAAAACTTTTAATTAAATAAGGTTTTTAAGTTTTAACTATAAAACTTCCTAAAGTTCTTAGGGGTTTTCTCACAAAAACAAATTTATCTTTATCCTGTCTAATTCCAAATAGTTAAAAAGAAAAAAACTTTAAGTTAGTATGTTTTTTGGTTTTTTTTATTTTAAGGTAAAATGAAGATCTTTTGAACATGTATCAAAAAGTATTCAATTAAATTCAAATTTTATTCAGAAAAAAATAAATAAAAAGACATTATTTACAAGTTATGGGGAAATTGTAATATATTATTAATGTAATTGTAATAGAACTTCGATAATATGAACTATAATAAAACGAAACTACTACTAATAAATAAGCTCTTTCTAAAAAAAAATTTATATGAAATATTTTGCTATTAGAATAATAATAGTTTAGATGATGTTTCTCTTACTTAATGTAAAATTTATTTTCTATCTTTATATTATGGTATACATTTTATATTTTATTTAAATATATATAAAAATGTATTGAAATAAACATAAAAAAAAAGATACAAATTAGATATAACTCTTCCCTCATCAATCCAAGAAACTCCTCAAAACATGATATTCTCAAACAAAATTGTTTTCAATATTTTCGAATACACTAAAATAATGATAAAATAAAAGTAAAAAATATTAATAACAAGATTTAAAAGTAATGGTGAATTTTTTTATGAATTTGTTTCCTTAATTTATTTTTGTCATTACTCATGACTAAATTCCTTCGAATCATTATTTTAAAACTTAAAAGATATTTGAATTGCATTTATATCGTTTTTATTATAGATTAAATATACTAACTACAGATAAGTAACTTCGTTATATATATATTAATACTTTAATAACATAATAATACTGTTGGTACAGGCATTATTGATTAGTTCCATATAAACATCACTATAAGTCTATTGTCTATATATTATATGTGTGTGTATATATATATATATTCTTTTTATACATAACTATAAAAGGGCATAGAGTTTCATTATTTAGTTTCCTTAGTTTGCCACAACCTTCGTATGTAAATATCATCAAATCCGCGAATTAATATTATTCATAGATAATAGAAATTAATTGATTAATCAAGTATTGAAAATCATGGTATGATAAAGGACACATACAACGACTATACGCATTGTACAATTTTCAATTTTTAAACAGACTATTCTTTACGCTTTATTTTCAGACCTTAAGAAACTGAAAAATACAAAACCTGCAGTAAATATTATACCTAACATCAGCACAATGTCGACGCCCGCGAATGAAACTTACGAGGATATACTAACAGATACAAATTTAATTAAACAGTAAGTGAAAAAAAAACTTTTATTTTAATAAAAATTGTATTATAGAGAATTTGATATACATTTAGCCGAGGTTGACCAGTGCAATCTAAGTATATAAATTGATTACATTTTGAAAGTAAACAATATTCAAATAGGGTTTAAATCAATTAATAAAATTAAATAAACGTCATATTCTTTGTTTTTATATATTTACCTTAAATCAAGCAAACAGAAAAATGATGTGGGTCATTAGTTCTACAATGGGTAAAACGCCTAATACCAAGAAAAGTGAAACTAAATCATCGGCTAAATCTCAAAACGACATTTGCAGCTTCCGTTTATTAGTATATAAATGGAAAACGCCTTAAACACATGCTACTAATAAATAATAACAATATCCGGTGTAATATTAACAATAAGTTTCTTTCTTTATATTTATTATATGTACATAATGAAACACATTGTTAAAGTTACACCGAACATTGTATTATTATTATTTATTAGTTGCATGTGTTTGTGTGTGTATATATATATATATATATATCATGATCCACTCTGCATTAGAGTTATTTTAATTCAATTATAAATTCTTCAAACATCCATTTCCACTTTCGCAATGTAAAAAAAATATTTTTTTAAAACTTGTAGAAATTTCTAATAATTTGAAAAATTGAATAGTCATTATGATAATAATTTGTTGTAAATTTCAGATTCCAAAAGTATTATCCTCTAGCCTTAATAATCCTAGGGAGTCTTGGAAATTGCATGTCCGTGTTTGTATTCTTCGGCACCAATTTGCGAAAACAATCATCATCATACTACCTATCATCTTTGGCGATAAGCGACACGCTGTTTTTATTGATGCAACTTATGTCCGAACTGACCAACGCCGGAATCGAATTGTTTTTCATGGATGGAGTCTGCCAATTTTCTATCTATATGACTCAGGTAAAAATTAACAAATAGTTTACACAATTGGTAATTCAACAATAGTTTATTACTCGTGGTAGTGTTTTTTTTAAACATGGCCTAATTTTCTTATACATAATTGTTGTTCGATATCTATCTCTCATTTATATAGTTTAAGCTATTCACATTGTCTAAAAACAAAGAAATAAATATTACATCTAATTCAAATCAACTTGCGTAGTAATATATCGGTTTGTACATATACTTAAACATTAAAGTTTCTTCGAGTATAGATTATTTGTATTGCCTTGTAGCTTGTAGCTTTTATTCAAAGTTTAATCTTTAATTGGTACGGTCGTACCCATTAATGGGTTTAATGGGTCGTATTAGGAATAAGTTATAAGACTAAATACTAGAACACTATAATATGAATGAATAAAAACATAACATCAACATTTTCAAATCAACGTAAAAATGTTCTACGCGGTCATTTTCATATTTTTTTGTATTTTGCCCAACAACGAAAAAAACGCCTTTATCAATGAAAACTGTTGCAAAAAAACAAAACACATTAAATAATTCACTACACCAGTTTTCGGTAAAACGTATATAGTTTTATAACATTTGTGAACGTAAAGGAAAATACATTTTTCTTCAACAATCTTTTGAGGTTTTTAAAGTCACTTTTAATAGAATCTCCAAAATTTAAATGTTAGATAAAACCCATTTGCCTTATGGAATTTAAAAATGTTTAGCAATTACGTTTACTGATTTAAAATTGAGAAAGAGCAAAAAAACACTTTCTTATTGAATATTATAAAAGTATATTAGTGCATGACAACGGTAAAAAGACAGGCAAATTTCCATACTTGAATTTAAAACAATTTATACTATAGATTGTATACAATTACAGTGTATGGTAATTCTCAGTACATACGTAACCAATGCGAATGTCAAAGGATATTTTCTATTTAAACTAAGAGTATCGGAACAGATTGTGTGAACAGACTGCTTAACCAAAAACTACTAGCATAAAACCATTTTAAGTTTAAACCAATATAACTGAATAACGCTTATAAGAATAAAATACTATTGACAAAAGTAATTAATCACCAATTACTCATTAGTAACTCATTACCTACTAAATAAAATAGAAAAAATAGTTTTAATAGCAAAATAACTTATAACCATTGCTTTTAGATATTTATATTTAAACCACTTAAGCAAATACTATAAATATTAAACAGTCTTTAATTTTAAACGAAAACAGATTACCCAACTTCTTTTATGATATAAAAGTTATTTGAAAGATATTTCAGTTCAAGTAGGTGGTAATGGAAATTGGATTTCTTTTTAAAAGTCATAACACATAGTATACATTATATTTTTCTGAAAGGGAATGATGTAGTAAATGATTAAGAATGTATTCATAATAAATAATACTTATTCAATAAAAAGTAAAACAAATTCTTTTACTTTTTATTAAAAAAACTTTTACTCAAATAAATACAATAGTCTAACACTTTTTATAATTTTATTAAAAGATTAAATTTACAATATAAAGAATATACATCTTTAAAACTCCAAGTAATATTCTTTGTTTTTATTTACAATCGTTTCATTTAACACATTTAACGGGCATTTACTTACACTTATATTTTAGCTTCGATTCGAGGCTGAAAACGGTATAGTTATTTTTGTTGAAGTTCTCGAATAATTTTAAAATAATAAATTGGAACACCATAAAATAAAATACTGAATTAAATATTAAATATTCACCAACTAACACCCCTTATGTGACATTATTGCAATTAGCACAGCTATTTAAATTAGTATATTTATTCTACTGGTAAGTTTTATGTTGTAAAAAAAAAACTATACAATTTTAAAATAACATATTTTAACAAAACCTATTTGTTTTATTATTTCCGTATTATAATAACTTTTAAAATTATATGTTAGCTAGTGTTATGAAAGAAAAAAATATATTTTTCAATTTTTCGAGCTGTTTATGTTCATTAACTCCAGTTAGGCAAATTCTCGAGGGTTGATAAGTACATTCGATTGTAACGAAAAACCTTATATTATTTTATTTCACAATTTGAAAAAATAAATTTATAAAACAATTTATCATTTGGTAAATACTTAATAATATTATTGTTAAAAATAACAGTTATCATAAAATAATAAACGCCGTAAAACATATAGATTATAGAAATTAGAATACACAACAGGAAACGTTGAGCCTTCGAGGACAATATACTCGTATATTATACCTCAAACTTACAAGTATTAGGACGATGGAAACGTACGAATTTTGAAAAAAATATTTATCAAACAATAGAAGTCGGGATGTAACAGGAATACTTTATATTTTGTAGTAACAGAAATTTTCGATTTGAAGTTAAGAGTAAGGAAGTTGTCCTACAATCAATAGGAAATTCAATATTATTGTACTTTTTATAACTTAGGCCAAAAACTTATAATTTTATTTTCAAATAATAAAACCAAATAAGAATGTAAAAGTTTTGCAATGATTTTATGGATAACGGTAATTTGCAAAGGAAAATTGTATTTAAATAAAACTCCGTTTATATAAATGAAATATACAAGATATAAAGCCATAATAGATTATTAATAGCTAAATATAATTAAATAATTTATAAAAGCACAAAAAGCTGAAGTTGTTCTATAATTATCTTAATACGATCACGAGCAATCATACTAAAATACGAAAATAGTCCTTAAATTTTAAAAATACTTTCCGTATTTCCACTTTTTTTTAAACTTTTTTATTTCTTAACGATAACGAACGTGTTTATATTTTAGATGTGCAGTTTCATCAGCGTTTGGCTTGTGGTAGTATTCACTTCGGAACGCTTCATAGCCGTCCGGTATCCTCTACACCGATCAGTGGTGTGTACAGTATCCCGAGCCAAAATGGTTCTTTGCGTTTTAATTACATTTGCAATTATTGTACACGTGCCATATTTGATTATTACAATGCCACAAGAAGTGCCCATCTTAGGAACGTGAGTATGAAAGGTTAAATTTCGGCTATAGTAGTAATATAATGCGATTGAACGCAAGTCATATTTTTCTTATAGAAAAAATAAGAATGAAACTTTGAATGGGTATATTAAAAGTTGCACAACGCAAAAAGAGACAACCACTAAAAGATCTAATAAAATAACGTATTTTGAATTTTCCTATGTAATATATTGGGTATACAAATCAGCAGACGTAAGAACCTCCAAAATGTTTTAAAAGCAGTTTCACGGATATCAACAGATGTTTATAGTCATAATATTTTAAATACTTTTTTTTATATCATCGATTAATATTTTTAATTATTTTCGACCGTATTATGAATACTATTAAACAATTTTTAATTGATTAAAAATAAAAATTCGTAAATTTAGATGTTGGATATTTTTGTGTTCAGATATTATAGTTTTGGATACATTTCCGCAAGTATTATTACTTGGATATTTTTACCTCGATTCGTACACGGATCCATTCATTCATTTCAAAATGTTTTGTTTACGATTACGATGTTGACACCGTTTGGCCAAAGCAGATAAACCTCTCAGATGGACCTTTCGAACAGGCGCGACATAAAATTTGTTTTTATGCTCGCCCGCCCCGTCCTTTAGGCAAACCACACTGCAGTTAAGGATAGGGACTTCTTATCTACGAGCTATTTTATGACTATCATTATAATAATATTATGACTGCTGATGGATTTGTTAGCCGTGAATGAATTCCACGTGCGCGGTTGGTAATTAAACTGGTCGTTTTACAACAGTCCAATACACAACACCAACTCTACATGTTTATTTTTCGTTTTACAAATTTTTTTCAGTTGAAAATCCACAAGTAGTCTTAACGCGAGATTTAAAATAAAAGTGCTCATGATTGATCATGATTAATCGTTTTAGTGATGATGTTAAATTATTTGTGGACGCTATTTTAGTAAATTGTTTAATGAGTTACCACGTTAGCACTTAGCATACATGATTACCGGATGCTGTGTTATGAAACAAGTAAAAATTGAGATTCACGATGAAATCACGTAACATAACTTTTCCATCAGGCCTTAAATTTAAAAAAACACATATTTAACTGTGTCCTCCGCCTTGAATACAATAAAAATGACCATATCTTTATATCGAAAGTGTTAAATACTGGTACTTGTATCTTAGGTATTTACTATTTTATAATTTTTACATTTAAAATTGAAATCCCGAAGCGCTGACTGATAAAAATTTCATTCCACCCAGTGGCGGCAATATATCAATGTCTTATATGATTAAACGAGGAGTCACATAAATCGAAGCACGTTAGATTACTTAAAAATAAATCATTTTTTTTTAACGTTCGACGTCTAAAACAGGATATTATTATACACGGTCCGTAATAATATTATACCGTAGAAAACTCGCTAAACGTTTTAAATAAATTGACTTTATTGAGCCTTAATCATATGAAAATTACGATAAGCAAATAAATACAAAAACAACGTTCAAGTTTCATTAATTATGACGTAATGGCAAGTTATGTGTATAAATACGTTTTTAGTATACAACAACAATTTAACCGAAAAATTATACGCCTGCCAACAGTAATAATTCGACCCACACTTGCGGATTGAATATGCAATGGTACGATTTGTACGTTTGGCTCAACTACGCCGACTCTTTGATCAACATGGTCGTACCGTTTTTCCTGATTGTCGTATTCAACAGCATGATCTGTCAATCGGTGTGTCGTCTGGCCAGAATTAGAAGATCGATGACACTTCATCCTTCCAGACGGCGGCAGTCTATGCCTCAGAATTCGCAGCAATCGTCTCAAATTAAGGTCACCGAAATGTTGTTGGTTGTGTCTACAGTGTTCCTGTGTCTGAACTTACCGTCATACGTATTCCGGGTGTGGATAGTGTGGGATCCCGTAAGTACCGTTACGTTTTAAATTAAGTGTTGAGGTAAGATGGCGCAGCTCGTTTGTTTGTATCCTAACCACCCTAACAACTAACTATACTAAGCAGATAGTGGCTAATTATTCTTATTGCAACCCTATGTACTTGCGCAACTTGTAATTCATTTTAATATATTAGAAACTTCAATGACAACTTTAAAAAATCGTTTACTATAAACTGAGCAGTTTTTTTAAAAAATAAGCTTATATTATTTAAATAAATGAACTAATATTTTACACTTAGGAATCGACGATTAAATACAAAAAACTACAATTCATTGCAAACCAGATGTACAACACGAACTTTGGCATCAACTTTTTTTTGTACTGTGTCAGCGGTCAAAATTTCCGGAGGGCACTAGTTGATTTTTGGACCTTGAGAAGACACCCCAACAAGAAATCCAGAGATACGCAGGTGACGACAGGTAAATATATAGTATCACGCCCTTTGTTTTAATATAAAACGCCGTCATTGAGCTTGTTTGGCACGCGACAGCGTTAATCAGGTTCAGCGCGATGGTTGAATTTAAATTAACGCATTAACAAAGCAGATAATAATACCGTACTCAGTCGTAATCCTCATTTAAAACAATAATGGAATCTTCGGGCTCGCGTGTAACGCGTTAAAGATAAAATACGTGACGATAAGGAGGAGCAATCAAATTCACAACAGTCTAGATTCAAGAAACTATAGTTTTTGTTCTTAACAAGTATTAAAGAAAAAAACGATCACTGATCCAACAGCTCATAAAATATTACAATGTTTTAACGAAACAAATAAAAACCAGGATCATTTATGTCTCAAAAATAATATTAAAGTATGGAAATATTACATTTTTTCTGTTTTACAGCGTTGGAAACATGATTTTGGTAGCTATTCCAACGCGTGCAGTTTTCAAATTGCAATGGAAGTTAGGGAAACCAAACAAGAGAAAAGATATTTAACCGTGACTAGCCGGTAGCCCATAAATTCTGGATAATACAGATCCAATAATATAAAACTTGAGAGGGATTACGAAAAGGGTAAACGATTTATTATATATACACAATAAACCAAAAGCCGTCGCGCTAGAATAACATAAATTTGATAGGTTGTCATAATACAGTCAATATAAAAGCAACGAATAATGCTAACACTACAATTTAGAATTACTATTACAACAATGTCGGCATATTTCTAATGATTATTTGATTTCGATTTATTTTTTGTAGTTAAGTTGGAGATCCGGTCCGAGATAAAAACGATTCCATAATAACACAAGTTGCGCATAAATATAACCTTAAACATTGAATTGAAAATTGAAATTTACAAATGAAACGCATCATAAGAACACGAATAATTTTCTAAATTTTGTCTTGTTCACTAACTTTTGATCATCCGCATCCATAACTCTCTTTATTTATTAAAATGTAAAGCTTCCTTATAACTCCATTTTTTATTCCATCATCGCGTGCCGGTCTCATTTTTTGATAATGGATATCCTTAATTCCTAAGACCATTTCAATTATCAGTCGGTGGTGTTACAACTTGATGGTTTTTTTATCGTTTATACGATTTTTAATATTTAGTTTGGAAACTATTTATGCTTCTACTGACAATCATTAATTTTTACATAAATACATATTTAACGACCTATAAAACTATAATATCAAAAAAACGCAAGCGCCGAAATTTAATAATTTAAAAACACAAAAATTTACAACTAATATAAGGAATAGTTTATGAGTAGTTAGAGTGTTTTATTTGACATGGGTATGACAATATGATTGATGTACTATGTTATGTTTTTAGTGTTGTCAGAATTTTCCAAGAGCGGCGTTGGATCAAAACATACCACGGTAAACGGAACGTGGAAAGAAGTGCATGAGCTTATACCTATTGCACACACATCATGATTATAGATCATCAATTTTTTTCAGATTTAATTAATTGTTTTTCATGTTCAAGTTTTTCTTGTTTTTGTTATAATGAACTTTTTCTTACCGAATACAGGTTTTAAAACAATATGAACGTACCTTCTATTAATGAATGTATTATGAACTGTGTACATCAAATCTGTACGCAGTACGAGTACACATATTATATATTATATACGACTAGAGTGTAATTTAATTTTTAGCAAAACAAACTATGAGTTTAATTACTTACCCAAACATAATTATAAAAATATAAATGTACACACGGAAATAAAGTCAATACGATTCCATATTAAAAATTGTTTATAAATAATTCTTGACCCGTCTAATAAATTATTACAGTAATATATCTCCAGATGTTTGACAAAGCTAAAAGTATCACTGTAGTAGTGTTGTGTTAAAAAAAAGCCAATAAGTCTACAACCCAGCTAGACGCGCCAAGTGCTTATAATAAGTTATGTAGAAATTCAAACGATTTTATTTTGGAATGATGCTAAATAACTAAACATCTCCGTGGTTTCTAGCCAAATGAACTGACCGCAATATTATTTTAAAGGGTCGCTTTTCAGGGAGTGCGTGAATTCGTTTTTTTTATGAGTCAACGACAAAACATCAGATCTGTTCTACTCTATACATCTTTCCTAAATACTGTCCGCTGCACCATCTGTTGGGATATGTTCAATAGGTAACATTTTTGTACGTGCAATCAGAGTACAATGCGGACTGATGTCTGATCTACAAAATCCGATCTTCGTTACAGTTTATCTTGAACATTACAACTACTGAACACATTGGAACAATTACTAATTATACGGATATTTTATGAAGTAAAAATCGAAATACTAGTTCGTCAAAAAAATATTCTATCCCCAAACTAAGCATACAATTTAAAACACTTAGAACAAGCATAACATTTCAAACGACTTTTTTTGTATGATTCAGATAAAAACAACAGTAACTATACCAAAGTTTTTATTTCTAAAAATCGTATCCCGGGTTTTAAACACGAAATTACTATAAAAAAGCGTTAAGACTACTTGACCGAGTTTATTAATTTTATTATTATATGCTTAGAACTACCGACATAGATAATCATAATAATTCGTCTTTTCCTACAAATAGTATACATTCATTTTTATAACAAAATTGTATTCATTCAATGGTTGATTAAAGTTACCTAGCACTTACTAATTATAATAGTAGTTAACATTTATTTTATGGATGTAAAACAAAAATGACCACTTCTTAAAAACACAATTAATTTCAATATAGTAGACAGCAAATAATTATATACTTATAAAATAGCATAATATAAAATTAGATGTCAAATTATAATCACAAGTCAGAATACCAAATTACTAACTAGTTATTACCTCAAAATTATTCCTATTCATAAATCATATTATTAATTGACATACAGCGAGGAAAGTAATCTATACAAGCTTTATTATTAAACAGTAAAAGTCAAAATATTGCATTTATAAATTTGTGTCTTTACGCCTTTAACTGGTACTACAAGAGGTCGTAGAATTGCACCTCTAACGATTACAAATCGATGAAAAAAGTACTTTCAAAAATCAAATTGTGATAATGTCCCGATTTTGCTTTCAACTCAAGAAAAATCACAAATAAGAACCTATCTTATATTTTATACAGTTTAATTTTAAATTAAATTATTTATAAAAAAAACTTTATACATTTTAGGAAAAACTAAAATAATCACTCAGTCAGCTTTTTTATGAGCCATTAAATTATAGCTTATACGGCAAAACAGCGTAGAGATAAAACGGTTACAAACTTGAAGAAAGTAATCGACTTGTAAGTGACAAGTTACTTTAATGAAATCTTCAATAATAGAAGAGAAAAGCTTAGTTTAGGATAGCGTAACATAAAATATTGATTTCGCTACATAGATATATTAAAGTAATTATAAACAAATGTGATTTTCTTTTAGTTAATTGAATATTTTTAGTTGCAGTCAAAGTATTTCAATTAAAGACTGTGAAAAAATTGTAGTACAAAATATAATAAATCAAAAATGTGTTCTGTAAAAGCAAATGTGCTTTTATTTTCTCCCACTTAACTTTACATTATTTATAAAAGTTGTACAGAAAATTACATTACTCGCCACTGTAAGAGTTAAAATGATTTACACCGAAGGCTAAAAAGTTTTATACGTATTCCCATAAAAATTGTACCGTAAGTATATTATGCTATTATTTAATATCAGTAATATTGATATTATCGAAGAAAAAAATTAATAAGCGCCTTTGAAAATTGTAAAAATTTCAAACTTTTAATAAAAAAGCGCATAAGAAAAATTACTTACGGCAAGTCATAAACAAAATCAAAAATCAAGCACGCAAAACCTAGTTTTTTTAGAAACTTCCAAAAAGATTCATGACATTATACATTTTTTTTTTGTTTATAAGATACATTATTGGTTTTTCGGTTTTAAACATTTAGTTACTTTGAACACAAACAGAGTACATTTGTAGTAAAAGTAGTTAGTTAAATTAAACATTTGATGGTAAACGACAATCGTGACCCGAATATTCCAATAATAATGGTTTGTCCTCGAATTTTCGCTTACGCGATAGAAAAACCCGAACATTTTCGTTTAGTATTGCACAATGCACATGAAGTGCTTAACTTGTGCTTTTTTAATGACAAAGAATCGATGAAATGATAAATATCTTAACTATAATACATGAAAACTATATACTATTTATGTGTAAATCTGAACACATCAATATAATATTGAATACATTCATATTCTTGTTGAAAGCTCATGACGCAACGGTCGTGTAAACATTTTTTTTTTTTTTTTTATCGCTGAATTGCCCAGACTGGGAGGGAACGCTTTCGCTTTGCTTCCCTGTGTAAATATTATTAGTCGGACCAACTACCAAGAGTGTAGTAGAGTATTGTAATTTTTATATTTTTTACTTTATTCAGTTTTGCGTTAGCGTTTGCTCCATACGTGTAAATATTATCGCATTTTCCTTTTGTTCGAACAAAGGGAGAAGGAAGAAGATAATACGTTTGAATGCCTCAGGCATTTCTCCAACTCGCGCTAAGGGGAGACGTAGCATAAAATATGTTATTTTAAGTCGAGCGAAATTTAAAATGTACTCACGTGCGGCAGCTACAGACGATTCCGGTGGCAAAGTGGGCGGCAACAGTTCAACAATTCCAGAACCGAAAAACCTCTTATCCAGAACTTGCAACAGTTGCAAAGCGGTATCTCTAGCCCAGGACCGTGGACAGCCCGTATTCATCAAGGTCACGTTGATAATAGCCGTGTAATGATCACAAGGGTACTCCCTGATAAAAAGAAAACAGTAAACAGTGTCATAAGTTATATTACTTACTGATCAAGGTATAGGAATACAGACAGAAATGGAACATTACACTCCCTTATTAGAGAGGAGGCTTCGATTCGGAGAAGAGTTATTTGAAAATAAAATAGACCATTCAGACTCCGCATTTGATAGGTTATTATTTTTTTTTTTTTTTATGTAAACCCCAAACGCTGCTCTCGATCGAAAAGCAACACCTAAAAACACCAACACCAATATCGCCGACTTTATTTAGCCAAAAGGTGAGTGCGAGGGTACTCCCCTCCCCTAGATACCCACCAATAGTAGGTTTTTAATGATAGCATTATTTAATTAGGAGGCGTTACTACATTTGTTCAAAACTTTTCCTTCAAATTTATTTAATTAGCGGTCCTATATATATTTATGTCGTCTAAAAGCCTTTGTTTAAATATTATAAATTATAAGCCCGGGACAATTTTACGCCCGAGGATGAAACACCGCTCCTCCCATCCCCCAAGTTACGGCCCTGAATATAGACCACCTAGCCCGAAGTGTATCTCTAATATAAACAATAACAAAAATAAATCAGATTAACCCACGATTAGCTTATGTTCACACTTGACAAGTATTCTTCATTTCTGCCTTATCCACTGCAGTAATCAGTTAAAGCTACGATAGTAAGTCGCATATTAGTGTAATCAGTAACAACATAAACATATGAGTACGTTAGTACATTAATAAATAATACCGAATATCAGTCACAAGTAACAACCCCCATACATAATCGGACTATTAAACAAAAATAAAACACATGTCGCATTTAGGAAACTTATTGCAAGTGTAAGTGCTTAACCATTCACGCGCAGAAATGTGGTTGTCCTTTAGTAATCACACCGTGTGTAATTCAAAAATCTGCTGAACTCTAGTCCACATAAATTGTAAGTAGCAATTAGGACCAATAAAAATAAATATAATACAAAAGTAATTTGCGGCTATTGAGCGGCCAATTTATTTCGTAATAACCTATTATATGATCGCTAACCGCCGGTCTATTCGCCAAACGCCAAAAGGAAATCAATAAGAAACTAAAAAATTGTGGCCCTCCCGTGTAGAATTGAATACACACGCGCCTTGTACTGGGAACAATAATAATATTATACGAAAACATTTATAGATAAATAGCCAATTTGTAAACAATAAACAAAAACGGCTTGTTCGAAAGTGTAAAAGAATTGTGAGCTGATCTTATTCGGATGAAACGATCAAACGCTAAAAATGAAAATGTTTTCTATTATTATTTATACTTTTTAACATACGTTTTTTTTGATACCTATTTTTTTTTTACTCTACTTTAAGTTGATAAAGTGCTACACTAAAATATTTAAACGCACGCGCGGGAAATAAATAAACAATAATGTAAACCTTTCAATTTAAAATGTTGTCTGAGACAAAATAACTGACTATAACTAGAGTATGTATTTCCGGAGAGTTATTTTGTAAAATCACCAAAACAAATGTACAAATATTTGAATTTGCAATTTGAATATAATGAATTTAGGTCACAGATGTTAAATGAAGTCCCGCTTTAAACTACGAGCGTATAAAAAAAAGGGAAGTGAAAAGAAGTAAGGAGAGTATATAAGAAAAATAATCAAGAATATAATAGGATAGAATAAGAGACGATGAGTAAACGAGATAAAATAAAATAATAATGTGCACTGACTCACAATCTCTCCAAACAGACAGGGTGTAATGATGATTGGTCACCTAAAGGCCAAACTCACAATTTTAACATGTAACGAATACACCTACATCTATTTCTATATTTTCTTAGCGGCCACTCCAGTCCACTCACATACTTGTCTCCATTAATAAATCCTTTCATTTTATGGTTTTGTCTACCTCTACCTCTCCGTGTATTTTCTTCTACTCTGATTGCCGTGCTTTGTCTTTACTACTTAATATTCTTCCCGCATTCTACAAATGTCGAATCAATAAAAAAAAGGAAAATGTATGTTTTTTTTGGTCAATTTCAATGTAAAAATTGTAATGGCGATAAGGGCGCAGCGTTAATTGAATGCAATTTGATAGTTATTCATAATATGATAATTATAATTTGATTAATTTCGAAATATTAAAAAATTACACTAGTACTGATAATATACTAAATAACAAGTCACAAAGTACATACTAAAAACTCAGGTTACAGAAATTTCGATTATCCAGATTAATTAATAACAAATGTGGATTTATCGGATTATCCGTATTTGAATTTTTAAAAGTTAAATAATACAATTATTGTTTCAAATAATTGTTACAAACTGACAGTGTACATGTTTGTTATAGCAGTTTTATTACTTAACTTGGATAAAAAAAAAATGAAGTCTGGAGAATCTTACAGCATTAACCGTAAACTAACCGCAAGCCATAGCTGGGGATATTATTAGTTTTCTATAAGGAGAACAAATATAAGGTGATGCTAAACAAAAACCAAATAATTTTCATACTAATTTCTATTAGTTTTAGAGTAGAATTTTTTAACGTATACCATTTTTATTGTGAGTTAAAACAATTTAGGTCTTCAGCATAACGGCATATACCCTATAGCTATTAGCCAAGCTTATTTGGGGTTTTTTTTTTTAGTATGATGGTTAAATATAAAATGAGGCATCGCCCTTCCCCCACTTCCTTGAAATATCTTCAATTTTCAATAACACCAGCATAGTAAAACGCGTCTAGTCGATGTATGTGGTCGAAATTAGGATGCAAAGCATACCTGGTGCTGAATATCACTCCTAGGGCATGAAAACAGGCATCGGCAACCGATGGCACGGCCGTGTAACAGCGGTCGACCACCCAATCGAGAAGCGCGCCCAAGTCGGGATTGCAGTCCAAAAGCAGTACCACGGTTTCCATGGCCAAATGATGTACCCGTTTGTCGGGATGAGCCAACAACGTGTCGATCCACGCGTAAAGCGATCCATCGGGCTCGGCCAAGTTGTGATTGAAGCACGAACCGCACGCGAGCACGGCGCAAGCCGCCTGCAGCGAGGCCATTTGCAGGTCATCCTTGATTGTTTCGACGGTGGCTAGGCTGGACGTTCCACCGGTGGAGGTGCTGTGCTCGGCCCAACCGCAGAACAGCGTGAACAGGCTCTGTCGCAATTCCCGTTTCAACAGGGTCCGGTAGGTCCCGACTGAAAATCATATAAAATTATGTTTTTTAACATACAACCATGGTCTATGCAAATTGATTCGAGCGCATATATATTTTGCACTCCCCGACTATTAAGCAAGAACCACAATCAGCCAGATGAGTCAGGAAAGAAAATTAATCAAACAATAAGTAAGTGTATACTATTAAAATGTGTATATTAATAATTTATTCCGTTTATTAGTTCTCATCCTTAATTACATTAGACATTAGTATCCGGTACGCGCAAGAAGTTGAAAGGGCTAAATATATGGCTAAATATATACCAACCCAAATAAATAATTGTCTGACGAGAACAAAATACTTATATAACTAAATCGCGTGCCTGATGGTTAATCGCACAAAACTCATAAGGTGCTAAGTTTTATTAATGAGTGCTTAGTAACACTTTTTTATTAAAAAAAAACTCATTTTATTGGTAAAAAATACAGAAAAATGTCGTAGAATTAAAATTTTACGCTTTTAGGGTACATTTTAAAGAACAAAATATAAGCCAGACCAGTACAGTACGTTTTACTGTCCAAATTTGAATCGAAGAGTTTTAACGAAAATTAATCTTTAGAAACCTACATATCCTACTGGTCATATCTATCATACCGGCGGTTTTGTACCGTACTTTATGAAGTCAAATAAAATAAAAAGCCCTGCGCTATCCTACCTTCCGAATACACCTCGAGCTGTGCTATTTATTGGGAATCCAACGGGCGAATTGGATACTATATTCAATATGTTTTATTCAATAACTTTTGGTACCCAACTGTGTTAATAAAGCCTATTGTGTATGCGCACCTCTTGTTCCCCTCATGACGAACCTTTCGCGTTAGATGTAATTCCACAAACGATTGACAACGCGAGTGCAACACGAATTATTATTTGTATATTATAATAAAATAATAGTGTATGTATGTACTTGAGCACATCAAGTGTAGAAACAGCTCGACTGTAAAATAAATTCACAAAAACAACTATTGAAAAACGCCTCGAGCCATACTCCTGAAAGATGTTCTTCCAATATCTCATGTTAACTGAACTAATTATCTTCCAACACGGTTATATCTTTTGCCTTTATTACATTTATTATACCAATGATAAATATTGAAATTTATTTGAACAACTAATGAAATGAACTGTTTTTTGAACCGTATTTTTCGTTTTAGCTCGTAACTGCTTTCAGTCGGTTGTTTAGCGATTTGATGAACTCGAGGAGAGGCTCGACGTCAATTTAATATCCTAATATTGGGATTAAATTTCGATTAGTTAACGCAAGTCATCTTAATAACATTAAATTCAACTGAAAGTCAATTAGTATAGATCGGCTTTGGTTTATAAGGTACATAGGTATTCATTCGAATCAGAAATTTAAAATCATTTTTCGTTTATAAGTGAATATTAAAAAAATAATATGGGCACAAGAGCTCATATTACATGTAAGTAATTTATAAAACAACTATTGAATACTAATGGCACGCGTGTAATAACATTAACTACGCTGTAAATTAATTTTCATGCATTTATATAGTCTTGAAAACGTTGAGACATTTTTTTAAATATTCATACAATTCAATGACTTTTATAAGATAAATTACTAAGAAATGGTAAGTAAGAAAGTAATGTATCATTACATAAAAATCATGTATACCGCGTACCTAAGTCACTGTCACAAAATTTTTTATGCCATCAAGTTTTTATTTTTATTTTATATTTTAAAAATGTATTTACTCTAATAAATCACTCAGTATCTTTGGCAAATCATAAGACTTGCAAATCACGAGCGGGTCGTCAGCAATATAAAACTGTATTGAATCGGTAATTACCATTCACACTTTCTTAACTGTGAAGTCGCAACGGCGAGGGGATAAAAACCATAGAATACCTATTTTTTATTGTATTATACCATAAAACATCGAAGCTAAAAAAGTTCTTAATTAAGGGAAAATGTAAAGGAAAAATTGATAGGCGATTTTCTAATTAGAAACTCGTAACAAGACCAAAGGAGTACAAAATCTACCACTGGTTTTTCCTACAATGAATCATAATGATAGTCACCAAAGATTCAACTTTTTTTTTATATTTATTTTAAAATATAAATACCAGCCTAACTTGTTTTTTTACTTCTATTTTTACTTTATATTCTATTCGGATTTACTCACGTTCAAAGCTTTTAATCATCTTTCTAACAAATTTGCAGAAGTACAATTTAATTTCGCGAAGACTATCTTTATCGGTTTCTTGCTCTAAACAAATTCTAGCTCCATCAACATATTCTTCTATTGTTGGGTGCAGTGAACAAGAGTCTCTTTCCAAAACAAACGAACTGAAAAACGAATAAAAAACAAACATTAATTTAAATATATTATACTTTATTTATATATTTATATTTCAATTGGTAAGAAAAACGATCTCAAAAAAATCAGCTATAGTTTCTTTTTTTTAAGCCCAGCAAATATTTGGTATTAATCCAAAAACACTTAACTTGGAGAGTTTTTTTTAAACCAGGTTATTGCAAACTCTAATAAACTTTTTAATATTTTTGATATACCTGCATCCAAAAGTCCCATAACCTGCAATAAGCTCAAATACTTTAACTAGTTGTAAGCGCAGAGCGTCTCTTCTTCTACGTCTCCTCATATTTTCTTGTTTCCTATCAACAGCCTCTTTAATGTAAACTATTAATTCTTCCATCAGATCTCTGTAAAAAACAAAATATTTTGTCGTAATAGTTTCTTAAACATTATTTAACTAATTATGGACTAACTTGAAAGCTTCAGGATTAATAGTTCCCATTGCATAGACAGCGGCGTCCCTGACGTCTGCTCCTGCTCCCTCACATCTTAGTAATGGTACGACTAACTTATACAATGCCGTTGGCGTTACGTTTTTACTATCATTTCGTTCTCCAATAGCTAAACTATCTGGCGAAGAACTCAAACTCAAATCTGGTGAAGCACATCGTACAACTGGATTTGGAGCAAGTGGTACGACGCGCATAGCAAACATTGCATAATACCTCCACAATGTCAAATATTGATCTCTCTCGTTTAGAGGCTTTTTAGGAGGAGCCGAGCTTCTCAACAGAGAAGCTCTATTATCACTTACAGGCCTGGTAAAATAAAATGGCAACATTATAAAAAAACAAAAAATAGACATGCCTGTTTGAAAGATGGTCACTTACGTAGGGTCAATGACTGTGAAGAGATTTTGAACACGAGAAAATACTAAAGGCCAAGCCTGAGCAGTAACGGATAAACATTGGTTCATGAGAACATTTTGTGATAAAATACCAAAAAGTATAGTACCCCAAGGATCGCTATTTCCAATACCGCCCAGTAAACTTAATGACGAAGCAGTCTTTGGAGAATTAACATCATCTTGGATTCCTAATAATTTAAAACCAACAGTCCACATTAATTTAATTTATGTAAGTGTATGCCGTGTATTCATTGTACCAGCAGTCCATATTGGAGCACTTCGGTCGACAATCCATTGTAGATCTAGAGAATTTGCAGCTGATGCAGTTAGAGCTGCTGATTTTTCCGCTGAAGGTAGTATAGGCAAACATCGTTCTATTAATTCAGGAATAGCTTTATCAATAACATCAATAACTGGCAGTTCTTCTTTGTCTATTTATAATATAATAAATGCATTATTATTGTTTATTACCAACATCTATTGTTGTAGTTATTTTATATTTTATAACTCATGACTAATATTTTACTGACCTAATATTTTCATGAGACATTTTATTTCCCGAAGTATGTGAGCTGACAAACGCCTAGGGCAAGGTCTGCAGTTACACAACATTACCAAAGCAAAAGCTTCGGCTTGAGAAAACTCTACTCTGTTAGATTTAAGAGGATTATCAGTTGAGTCAATTTTTTTATTTTTTTCTGTCAGATTCTTAACCAATCCTGAAGTCAAACTATTTTTCCAACTAGTCAGCAATTGCAACAACATGCGTAATCCATTATCGACTAATTGTGGAAATGTATCCTGAACGTCACGAGCCAAGAATTGAGTAAAACCTAAATATTTATTTCAATTAAAAATTTAAAAAATAACTTGAAAAATATTTCATTATATACTCGTTATAACGTCATGACGCCACTCAGGAAAGTCAATGATTAAAGTCTGTAAACTTTGATAAGCTAATGCACGTAGTTCTTCATCCATATGCACGGTTAAACGAGACAACATATCAACAAGTTCAGCCCCAGTCATAGTCTCCGGTATTAAACGTGGAACTGCCGCAACACAAGTTCGAAAGAGATCAATGCGAGGTTTTCTTTCACCTGTTATCATCTCGTCAGGCTCCTAAAAATTTAATATTTTGATGAATAAACAATACTTAAGCTTGCAATTATCTTACGCTCTTATAAAAAGGTTAAAATGTTATAAACTTGAATGCTTATCAAAAATTTGTATTTTTTTTTTTTTTTTTTAATGAGTAAGTAGATATCATTATAATTTATATTATTTTGTTTACTACTATAATTATGTTTGTTTGACCATTCTCGCGTTGGTTTATTATAATTTTTGCTGTTTTATTGTATTAGCTATAATAATTTTTGCTTATTTTAAGTCTTGCTTATTTCTTTTGCAAATTTTTTTAGATGGCTCCCAAACAAAATATTTATGTGTTTAATTTCTCAGTCTTACAATGTAGTTTTGACTTTTGACAAAAAAAAAAGTATACGAAACAATTTTAATATAATATATAACTATATTAATAAATATTATTTACTTTGTTCATATTTTGAGTGCATGTCATCATCAGTGGTCTTCCGTAATGGGCGTCAAGTGCTCTTAATATTTCAACAAACACTCTACGCACATTCGGAAAATATGTATGAATTCCGATATTTTTTGCAGTGTCTTCAGTTAGCATCTATTTAAAACAATTAAATCATCATATCACCAATATCATTACAATTAAAACATTTTAAATGTACACTTGCCTTATTCAAAAAAGTTTTTTTAACACGTAGAGTGCTTCCGGAAGGCAAAACTCCAGTTGTACCAGGCATGGGAGGTTCACCTTCTTTTTGTTCAAGGCTATCGGCTACAACAAGAAAAGCCCGAAGACCAATACTCATTCGTTCTGGTGTGAGTATCAATTTTATTGGCCGCCCTACACTCAACAAATCATATACTATTTCACGCATAGCGAAGTCTAGTCGTTCCTAAATTTAAAAAAATAATAGTTTATGATAAAAAAAAAATTTAATAAAGAAACTAACAAGTTACCTGAGCAATGAACTGAATGATTTTCACAAATATATTCAAAGGTGTATCGCGGGGTACAACTGCTTTGGATCCTTTAGGAAATAAAGAATTCACTATGCTCTGTAATCTGGATTGGGTAGCCGAATTGCTTTCACATTTTATTCTTACCATATATACCCAAAGTAACCGATATAGAGCCTCTATAAAAACAAATATGATAACTATATAAATGCATAAAACTAAAAATAAATTTAAAATTATTCATAATAGTATGTAAAATGAAAAATGTATAGTATTTAAGTAAATTAAATTACCTAAAGCCACTCTTGACATGTTAGGATCTCGGTTTTTTAGGTTTGACAAACACATAGCTAAGAAGTAATGCCAATTTTGTAAGAAAAATGCTTTTTGACTTACACAAAGCAAACAGGTAACTAAAGGGAATAATGACAATCTATGTTTTGATTTAGTACACATATCCAATGTGGTTGAATAAAGTGACTCTACAAAATTTTTTAAACATGGAACATTAACTTCATTTTTGACAATCTAAAAATAAAATAAACATAACTTGATTTAACTTAAAATTGTTGGCTTAAAGTAACAGTATTAATTACCCCTGCCATAGGCAGCAAAATTTCAACAAATAGCCCAGCCATCGAATGTTTAACGTCTTTGTCTTTGACTTCAAGAAAATACTGAGCACACTCTTGCATAAATTGAAAGGAAGCTTCAAAATCTTCAATTGGAACCATCTATTAAATAAAATAATAAAATAAAATAGATATTCATCTGTTTACAAACATATTGTACATTGCAAATTTTTTTAAATCATTTTATATGTTTAAGGTCTACATTTGATCTACTTTTTGCCATATAAAATACCATTCAGGTACTGGTCATATAGAATTGCTACACGAATAAATTGGTTTGGTGGTTTAAAGATTATTGTAAGTACAGACATAAAAATAAAAACACATCATCATACCTTCTCAGTTACACATCAAAGCTATCAGATTTAAAAATAATATTAAATATTAATAAAACTAACCTTGATTCGAAAAAATTTCATTCCCATTAACAAGGATATTATAGCTTGAGTCACATGAGGTGATGGTTCTTTTGCCCTGAGTTCCTTCAGTTCAGCCATGAATCGTTTTCTGACTGATAGAAATCTTGACTGTGCTAATACACCCAAAACTTCAGCATATAAATCTGCTACCATGTGAATATTTTGAGCGTTCGGACAACTCTGTGCTCTAAATTCAAATTATATTTATGTTAAGACTTCCTTAAAAAACACTATTTGTTGCTTAGCACAAAAAACCTATGAGAAAAACTCTTAAATTTCGAGGTAGTGTTTTCTCAATTGATTATCAAAATATTATATTAGCTAAAATATCTTGAACCCAAACTAATTAAGAACTTTAGACAAACTATATACACTATTTTGAATTGGCTTATGCAACCCATTAAGGGCCATAGCCACTTCCTCAGAGAAGAAGGTTTGCTAATGGATACTCAAACCAGAGTAGTATCGTTTGTCATGGCTCCCTTACATAGCATTGTTGTCACTTGTTATCCAGCAAACAAAGCCATCTTTGACCAAGTATTGAACTGTCTACAATAATTGTTAAAACACTACTTACTGGAGGTTTCTCATGCTAAGCAGCAAATTATAATGCATGATCAATTTTTTTTAAAATTATTTTGCAACACATACCCTTCACGATATTTAAAATGTTTAAAGCACAAATTCTCAATGTAAGAAACTAAATCTTCATGTCCAGGATGAAATGGCAATTGTTTCAATACTTCTATTAATGCCAAACAAAAAATGAATTCCACTGCTAAATCTCTTCTCTCTCCCATCACTTCCATTTCTTTGCAATCAATTGTGTCACTAAAAATTAAAAACAGTCAATTTTAATACCTACTGTAATAATATAAGATTAAAAACTACAAAAAATGTATAATATGTTATTATTTTCATACTTTTTTCCTTTAAGCTCGATTTTCTTTGAGTCTGTAGCATTTATGTCTAAAACTCCAATTTGTCTGTCATACCAGGCAAACAGAGCCTTAAGTATTGATGGCAAACAGTGTTCAGCCACGGACCCAAATGCTATCAATAACTGATCTAGTTGTGCATCCTCGCCACGCTGTAATATCTTCATTAATGGCTTATCTTGGTCGGTCATTACCTCTTCCATTTTCCTTTCTGCCTGTACTGTGAAGTCCGCGAATAAAGTACGCATAACATACTCGCCTGGTTTAATATCTGTGTCTACATTTGGAAACGGGGAACGTTCCTTGTGTGCGCCCCATGGTAATACTGTTATCACACTTTGCCGTTGACATTCTGTAATATAAACTACCAAATTATTATAGACCCCTAAAATTAAAAGTTTTTACTTAGAGCATACCAGGTGTATTAGTGATTGTTGAATCTGTAAGTGAAATGGAAACTGTCTGAGACGTCAGAGAATTATCTAGTTGAATAAGAACTGAACTAGAATCTGTCTCACTATTGTTCTCAAAACTACCAGATGTGCCAGTTTGCTCTTATAAAATAATACATATTAGTATACAATTACTTCTTAATAAATAATTAAAATGTTAAACTATAATATTATATTACCACGGGAAATCTGTTCTCGAACACTAATTTCTAAAGTGGAGTCAGCATCTGGTTCATCCATTTCAATCTACTAAACCAGTTACTTTTAACAGTCACATATGTAAATCCACAAAGAATTTAATTTATTTAATAATGAAAATAATTGTTTTCAGTAATATTAAAATGACGAAGCTAATCTTTAAAAGATCATATAAACTGTATCATTCACATTTAAAACTTGGTTGTTGTAATATATATTATTAGTAAAAATATCTTTTAAGATTAAAGAATAAAAATTGTTTTCGTTAAAAAACAAAATATAGTACATTATCAGTGTATAACAAATATTTATCATTCCGACTTTTTGATAATGTTATCACTTATCACCTTCTGATATCAACGTCCATTATTCTGGTTGAAGCAAAGACATCATACCTCTAAGGTGCTATTAGATAGACTTCATACCTTTGTACCGTGCACTTAACCCTTTAACGTTAAATGTTGTTAAGGGCCCTGACAACATTCAACATTGGTGATGAGCAAAAAAAAATCATCGCTTATTTGTATGTGCCCAAAAAAAAAGTTTACCACTCCTAAAATTTTCCGCGCGGGGCGATGTTGCCCCATATCCCTCTGAATACGTCCCTGAATTTTTGGCACCTAATACCTATGTAATTGAGAAAACCCGGCGCACATGGTTAGGGCACAGATTAAATAAAACATTTAGAGTGTCATTATAGAGCCGTAAAAGAAACTGAAACCAAGTTCGGAGGATCAAGTGATTTAATTAGTTTCCATATAGTATCCAGACTGGATAATCCAGTTGTAGTAATAATCAAATTGAAAATATAGTTTCACAGGAATCCAATTTCATTACATATCATTTATGTAAATTTGTGTTGTCGGTATGATTTATGAAGTAGAGTATAATGTTTTAATTTTATTCAAAATTTACTTTTTAACATTAATAAACTAATTAAACCAACTTAATAAGTTTAAAAATCGTATTACCAGTTCACAATTCAATATTGTTTATGTTATTAATTACAGTCTAGGTATATTATTAGGACATGACTGGATAAGCCTCGGGGCAGTAAGCGAAAATAGCTTATAAAATTTAATTTAAAAAAAAAGTTTTATTATAGTTTGACAATTATTTTTAGTATATAATTTTTTTTTTTTAAATATATTTATAACATTATAATTTTTGTGCTTTATTTATTAATAAATAAATAAATACATCAGTATTATATATGACATCTTTCAGACACCTGAAATCGAGTTTACTTTAGTATCGTTATTAAACTGACACTATTGACACTGCCTATTGGACGTGTCATTGTCCAAAGTTATCTAAGTGGGACATTATGTACCTACGTCCTACACCAAAATACGAATACGAGAAATCCGGGATATTGAATAATTTATGCTATAAGCACCAACGAGATAAAAAATGCACTATTTTTTATATATGTATTCTTTATCTCGATGATAAGCACACATAGTAAACAGTTGGCCAAACTGCTAACCACACCGCCTAGTTCTGATAACTCGTATCAGTATTCAATCAGCCGTCTGAAGTCGGTAAAATGTATAGATATATACCAATCTTTTAATATTATAATAGTATTACTTATTAGTTATGAACTAATCTAGTATATTATTATATCTGTGGTGAAATAAATTAAATTAATATTCTCGTTACTCATATATTTCTAATTAATTTTTGTTTTATAATTATTGTTTTTAATCGCTCTTTATAGTTTATGCCTGGCTATTTTATGAGATACGTTTGAAGTGTATAGGCCAGAACAGTTTTATTGTAAAAAAATATATACTAGGAATGGACGCAGAGGACATTGATGACCGTGATCACTACTGGAAAGGGCTAACTTCAAAATGTCTTATAAAATCTTCAACTCACCCTTTAGAATACGCCAAACTTCTCATTCAGGTATGTGCATTTTAAACAAATAAAACAATTGTACAAATGTAAGTTTTAACAATGGATTGTTAAAAAAATAAATATATTAAAAATTAGTTTATAATGTTCAATGCTAAACAATTGTTTTCACTCTCTTATAATTGAATTATTTAATGCTCATTTTTTTTCTCCTTCAGCTTTCAGTTTTACAATTTTACTTTTTTTTAACAATACGCCACTTTTATTGGTAAAATAGTTTTTTCTTAATAACGTTTTAATATCTTAGTATTTCCGTACTTCACCATACACCTTTTTTCTGTGATTTTTTTTTTGTGTTTTTCATGCTGATTACGAATCTGAATTCAGAAATTGGCGGACTACTCTAGTTCATAAGTTACAGCTGCTTGAACTTTATGAATATTTGTTGCGCAAAACGACCGCGACCCCCAATGGCATAAAGCTTTGGAATCTTGTTGCGTATCTGGCAAAAAAAAAAAAGAGTGTGAAGAGTAGTAGCAATATCGCGTTGGTCGCTAGCCATTGTTTCCGCCTACTGTTATATGGCGAAAAGTTTTGAACTAGAAGAGTCCGCCTAATTATAACTTCAGATTCGGAATCAACGTAAAAATCACTATTATATGTCAAAAAAAAAACCCACAAAAAAAAGGGTGTCCGATAAAGTAAATTCATACCGTAATTTTCTAATAGAAATAAATCATACATTTTTTTATAGATTGGACATGAACCAATTCCGCCAATGCTTTGCAAACCTCTCATTGGCCAACCGTGTTTAGTACTGCCTAATATATTTTCATATAGTATGTATTTTTCTAATAAATATTTAAATTAAAGGGGTCCCTAATTGGCCCCTTGAAAGTGTGACCAGTCAACAATGGGTTAAGAGAAAAGAAAATTTAAATAAAAAGATATTTTCTTATAATAATTTTCAGCCAAATATATTTATGAAGTTGATGGATTTAAAGGAATGTATGCTGGCTTAGCTCCAAAGTTAGTTGGTGTTTTTGTTGAACATAGCTCATCATGGTTCATGACTAATTATGTCAAGTTTGAAAAGAAAGATACTTTAGATCCTGAGGATTCGGATTTAAAAGGGTAAGTAATAGTATTAACTTTTTAATCAAATTAAAAGTAATTTGGTTTTTTGTTAATTATTTAACATTTTGAATGTAAAATATGTGGGTAATAACATTGATCCATTTAAGACTATGGAGCCAACAATAGTTTTAAATGAGCCGCTTAAGGTAAAACGTAAAAATATGAAATTCTTATTACTTGGTCAAACATTGGTTGATGTAACATTTTAGTATTTTTGATAACAATATGGCTATGGTCAAATGTTTTCACAGTTAATTCTAGATTGTTAGATATCTAATGATTAAATTATTAAATGTAAAATTTCAATTTATTTATTTATTTGGAGTCTATAAATAGTTCTTCTCAATTATTTTAATACATTTATATGATAATAATTATGAATAAGGGAGTAAGTCAATTTTTGAAATAAATTAAACCACTAAACTTTTATGACTTATTTTTACTGAATCGATAAAAATGACTAAGATGAGTGAGTAGGCATTAGTGTGTTTGGCCCTCACTGTCAATGGTGCTCCGTAAAAAAGAGTCGCCAATCCACTAGCAATAGACTGACGTCCTGTCCCGGATAGTAAATTCATCAGGAAACCTCTTCTTTACAAGAGAGCATTAATATTCATACATGGACTACATAAAAAATTGTATTATATTTTATGGAACTTCCCTATGTGTACGAAACATGGCATTTTTACTACAGACTTAAAAGCTTTTTAAAAAATTTAACACAGACCCTAACTAAGTGCTATAGCCAAGGGAACACTAGGAGCGCGTGCCTCCTATACTCCCGAAATTTTTTATTTTATATATGTTGGCAGGCAAACGGTTGGCTGTTACAATAGTCTGCTATCCTTTAGGTCTTAATAGCTATTGCATCCGCCCCAAAAAAATTCTGGCTACTCTACAACAGAATCTTATGAAAAATAAAAACTTAAAAGCTCATCTTCCAAAAGTAGTGACATTTCACTTGCTTCCTTTTACCCAGGCAGCGCCAATTTATGTTTTTCTTATATGATTATAATGATGATATAAAATAAATATTATATTTATATTATGTTACATAGATGGGAAAAATGTTTATTAAACACTACAAAAGAATTGGTATGTTCAACTACTAGTGTTTTATTAAGCTATCCATTCCGTCTTATTACCATAAGAATGATGGCTCAGTTTGTTGGTTTCGAACATCGTTATACGTAAGTTAAAATACTAAATTAATAAAATAATTATTTGTTTTATAAATTATTTGTTTTAGTGGAATATTCTCGTCGTTTGCTATCATTTATCGTGAAGAAGGAATTACAGGATTTTATTCTGGATTGTGGCCTTCTCTAATGTATACCTTAAGCTATGTAATCATTTCTAATGTAGCAAAACATGCTATAACACGCTATTTATTCAACCCTTCGACAGTGTCATTAACCATTGCAGATTTTGCTTCTTCGGTAAGACTTATGTAAAATTTGTATTACTTAGTACCAATACTTAGTATGTATAGGTATGTTTATATTTTTTTAATTTAGTATAATAAGTGTTATAGAAAAAAAACGTATAAACAATGATGTAATGTACGTTAAATTGTGGTTATAATAACTAAGTAAACCTTTTGTAAGGTTAAAATGCATGTATAGTTCATACATACATCAAGTTATGAAAAAAATTATAATCGTTATTCATGTTAATCATTTCAGTACTGTGCAAATTTTGTTGCATATCCATTCAACGTAGTCAGCTCTTGTATTGCTATCAATAACTGCGGGTGTGTAAAGATTATTTAATTTCTTTTTTATATATATATATATATATATATATATATATATATATATATATATATATATTATATGTATTATATGTTTGAATAATTAAAAAAAATTTTGAACGTACAGCTTAGCGGCCGGAATGCCTCCAGAAATGCCAGTGTTCGGAAATTGGGTCGAGTGTATGAAATATCTGTATGGAATTGATCAACTAGGCCGCGGTGCCTCATATTTTTATAGACGCCATGTAACACCTGCAAGATCAAAACTTATTAAATTGAACTGATTTAATTGCCAAGTGCTTAGTCATGGTTGTTTGTGTTGTAACAAAACAACATTAATGTTACAATGTACATTTTAGAAAACAAGTTATACATTATAATACTTTTATAAAGCAACTCCTTTAATACTAATTTTTTTTTTTTTGTTAATAAAATTTATCGATTTAAACATTATTTATGTCATTGCTTTTATTTATAAACTGTGTTAAACATATTTTCTACATTTATGGTTAAAACACATTGAATGTAAATTATCGCTAGTAGACAAAATCAAGTATGGACTCGAGCCCATCCACGAGGAATACTACTGTATCAGTTCTTGTAATTATTTGTTTATTAAACACCATAATGTAGCAAAACTGTGCCTACAGTTCCTAGTGCCTACTGTCTTGGTGCAGGAAAGGAGTCCTGTGCTTAAAAGAATGTCTCAACTCGCTTGTCTATTTAAAAATAGTTACGCCATACATATTCTTCTAGTCCCATCACACTCGAATAAATTTAAATTAGTATATTAAATATTATAATGTAGTGATGGGAATTCGTATTTTGCTATAGAACTACTATGGAAAATTTTATATCTTTAATGTTTAAACTATATTATGTTGTAATTTTACAAACAAGTTTATCAATAGATGAATGATAATTAATTGTTTAATAGTAGGTAGTAGGTGTTTTTATGGCATCGTTGTTGTTAACTTAATATATATATTTAAAACTAGGTACATGTTTCTCTCTGTTATGACAAACTTTTTTTTGTTTTCAGGCAATTTGTATAAAATGAGTGAACTGTAGTAATATTGTGTATTTTTATTTTTATTTTTTGTTAGGTAAACTATGCATACAGCATCAGCAAACAATAGTTTTTGTTGTCAAATCATTTTGATCAGCTATAATTTTTGTCATAATTACATACTTTATACAATTATTATGTGATAAAAAGTATACTAATATGTACAAATATTTATTGCTAATAAACCATATTGGATGATTAATTATTTTGATTTATTATTATAAGTAATACATGATGTTAAACAAATATATTGAAAGTTAATTGACCAGTGATTACACTACTGACAATACCAATTTAAAGTGTTTTTCAGTCTAGAATGGGGTTCAAGTGACTTTTTGGTAGTTGGTCAAACAAATGTGTAGGTAGTAGGGTTGGGACTAATATTCGGATTTTGCGGATATCCGGATAATTCGGATACGAATATCCGAAATCCGGATAATTTCGGATATCCGGATTATTGATCAACTATCCGGATAGTTTCGGATATCAAATAATATTTCAATTATCTGTAGAACCAAAACTATCCGAATAGTTAAAAAATTATCCGGATAGTTTCGGATATTCATTTAATTTTTAACCAACCGAATATATTTTTTTGAGTACTCAAATTTATGTATTTTTTGAAACTTTCACGGATTGAAATATCACATGGATGATTTTCAGATATATCCGTGTCAGTGGTTATTAACTGGCAGCGGAACAGTTGTGACAACCCTGAGGATGGACTCTGCAAAGAGTCCGAATAGTCGGTTAACAACCACTGACACGGATATATCTAAAAATCATTCATGTGATAGTAAAATTTAATTAGGTGTCATTATTTTATTATTCGGTATGTTTAAAACCACTGTATATTATTAAGGTATATTTGTCTTATAAAAATGAAATGAATATCCGAAACTATCCGGATAGTTGATCAATTATCCGGATTTCGGATATCCGTATCCGAATTATCCGGATATCCGGATAGGCCCAACCCTAGTAGGTAGCGACTAGCGATGGTAAAAAATTAACAATGCATAATTTCCAAAATAATAGTTTTTTTTAGGTAAATTTTTCAAGGCGGCCGTTGCTAATTGGTTTTTGTTTTTTTTTGCTAAAAAATATATCTAATGGGAAAAGCGATGACGCCTCAAAGAGTTGTCGGATTTGGCTACTTTTATCTGATATAGAAACTTCAGAAGTTCGCATAGAAAAAGGAGTGTTTGAATTGACCATTACTTAGAAATTTGTTTTAAATAAAAAAATTCCTTATAGTTTGCGACAGCATTTTTCGGCACAAGGACTCCATAAACAAGATAATTTCCTTGGCATTTTAAAGGGACGTTCTCGGAGAGTCTTCCCTGTGTACGACATTGATAAGTCACGATACATTAAAAAATTGTAGGTGTTAAATCAGTAGAATTAAACTTGCAAAGAAAATAAGAAATAGGTATACTTATTGTTACTTGAAAAATTACTTGACAAATTATTCTTAGATACGAAAAATATAAATATAGATGCACAAATTGTCCCTTTTATAAGTACTTTAACTTCTACGAAGTAAGTACTCAAGTACCAACGACTTGAATTTAAAAAAACCTGATTTTGCAGCGCAATCTAGTGACTAACCGGACTGGTCCAAAATCCACATCATCTTCATTTTGAAATAATATACGCGTGGACGGGTAATAACGAGAATAGGTGTACCACACCTGTTGATAATACACACCTTGTTAATTGTTTGTCTTAGGAGCGACTATGATCGAATTTTTTTATAACTTTCTACATCAGACAGTCCTTCCCGACGACATCAATTCAGCTCAAACACAACAGCTTTAGCTATGCACTTCGTTAATAGGCCAAACACAGAGCAACCATGGAATTTACTTCAGTTCTTCGAATCGTGCATTGGCCTGATTCATTTACTAAACTAACGTTTGTTCCAGTCGATTAAGTTTTTACCATTTAAAAGTAAACATATTAGAATATACCATCTTAAACTTTTATTAACTGTGTATTTCAATTAGTAGTATGTATTTTTTTTTAACTTGCAGCTCAACTGCCATGACTCCTACCTCAAATGTAGACGTCAAAAGCTCTACTACCGAAGGATTACCAGCAAAGTTTGTACATTCCATGAGAACATTATTTGACATTTTAGATGATAAACGTACCGGATTTGTCAAATTTTCAGGTAATTTATTATTTGAATTGCAACAATAGATAATTTTTTTTAATGTTTTATATTATTTTTATAGAAATTGAAACTCGTTGGCAAGATGATGGCACTAAAGGATTACCAAAAGGAGTTTTAGATAGTCTTCGAAAAGTAACCCCACCTAATGGTTTATTGTCTTTTGACCGTTTCTGTACTGGTTTGAAAATGTGTCTACTTCGTAATCAAATGGAGCATGGCCGTAGAACTAATGATCCTTTGCGACCCCCGTCTGCTCCACTTTTGGATGTTGATGTAAAGCCTAATATACAATGGACAACAGGAAATATGGCCGCTATTAGACCCACTCAACAAAGGACTTTAAGCATGCCACAATTAGCAATAGAGCGTAATAATAACAGTATCAACAATAATAGTAGTGGTAATAATAATAATAATAAAGAAACACATCAGTTGCAACAAAAATCAACATCATCATCATTATTCGGTCCTCCGAAACCTCCAAGAACTGCAGCGGGGTTGGAGCGTGGTGTACAGTTAGCTACTAATGAACGTAATATTGATAAGGCAGAAATACGAACAGCTTTGCAAAATTGGCAATTAGGAATATTATTAAATGATCAAAGCAGTTCTAGAAGTGAAAAGCAATCTGGTAAATATAGTAATGACATAAATAGTGTTAATGTTATTAACTATTATTAAATATTTATTACTAGGTGATCAAACTTATAAAAGAGTTAATCAGCGAAGAAGAGAGCCAAGGCGTCATACCCTACAAAGTGGAATCGATTACAACCTGGTACAAATGTTGAAAAATTTACCAAAATTTCATATATTAATAATTTTTTTCATTTGTTGTTTGTTTTTTACAACAGTTAAAAAGAATGAAACAAATCGAACAAGAGAAAGAAGTTCTTATGCTTGGTCTTCAGGCAGTTGACAGAGCGCGAGATTGGTATCACAAGCAAATTTCTGTTGTTCAGGAAAAAATGAAATATCTTGGACGAACAAATTCACATACTGTAATTTAAATAAAATTACATTTTTATTTTAACAAACCGTTTTAAAATTGATTTTACACTTAAAGCAGGACCAGTGGACAGAAGCACAACAAGAGCGTATCGAGCTACAAAGAGCTCGAGTATTAGAGGTCAATAGACATTTGTCGGCATTAACCGATGGTGGTGAAGGATGGAGTGGTCTACCATTGCATATGAATCTAGCCGTACATTCAGCCAATCATCCTGGAACAATATTAAACCAAAACCCTCAAGTTGTGGCCACGCTGAAACATCGCAACCATGTACTCAGCGAGGTATTATTAATGCATTTTTTAAAACTATACATGCAAAAGACATTGAATGTAATGATATATTTTTTATGGCTTTTCAGGAACTTGGACAAAAAAGTGAAAGAATTTCAACCTTAGAAAGGGAGAAAGCAACACTTATTAGAGAACTATTTCAAACAAGATCTCAGGTCGCTCGTAAAAGAATGGATAATAAACCTGATGGTCAATCTTACATGCCTTAAAACAAAAACAAATTTAATTCTAGCTTAATAATGTTTAGTTGAATTAAACAGTATAATAATTAGTATAAAAATATGGTAGTAATTGCTTAGTATATTCTGATTACTAAAACAAAGTAAATAATGATAATATTCTTTTATATAAATCAGTCATTTGTTTTATGAAACCATTTATGATAAGGATATTAAATCTGCATTCAAATAAAATAAATAAGGACCCCATGTTAAAATTTGTAACTTTTGATGCAAATTTATAACTATTGTTTCACAGATTTTTAATTTTTCATAAACAAAAAAAAAATGTTCTAATATAAACTTAAAATAACTAATACATTTATTTTGATAACTTTGAAGTAACACCAATTAAAATCAATTTTGTTTCTTCTATCAATGCAAGCATTTTTATTAAATTTTTATTGTGAAACATTAGCTTATTGCTATTTTAGTGAAAAGTTGCTTAACTCTGATGTCATATTCATAACATGTTGTTAACTAAATTTTCTTACGGTATCCATTACTTTCCAAGACATTTAGATGTAGTTAATTTATTGAATTACTTTACCTATTTAAAATCATACATATAACTGCCATGGTTTTTGTTAATTGTTTCTTATTTCATAATGTATACTAATATTTAATTTGATAGTGTAATTCAGTTTTAAGTTCTTGAATATAATGTGTTAGTAAATTAAATTTATGTTGTCAGTACTAAGTCCGTCCAAGTACTTATGGTGCCAATTTTATAAAATTTAATTTTAGTTGTTTTGTTGTTTTATTTTGTATTTTTGTATTTACAGTTGTTAAGATTATAATCAATTAACAATAATAGTTATTTTATATTTTGGTCGAAATGTATGTTTTGAGTGTAGAATAAACGATCAAGGCTTAAGTCAATTTTTAAACATTATTATTTCGGCAAAAAACAGTAAATTCATTTATTTTTGACTTGTGAAAACTAAAAAATTGGCTTAAGCCCGTTTCCTATGACTCAAAAACTATAATTTGTATAATACAACTTTTGTATATAACTGACATTTTAGTTAATAATTCATTTTTTAACCATTAGATATTTAATACTAAAGTTTATTCTAACAAAATATTTAATTTGTTAATTTTTTAGTTTTAATTTTTATAAGTATTATATCAGTGCCATGAATTTTGACTTCATTATTTATTAATGTATGTTATGTTGAAATTATATAATTTTATATTTAGTTTATCTTTTGGGAATACGGCAATATTATTAAAAAAAATGATTTTATATATGAGGCGCATAGCGCGAGAAAAGCTTCTCACAAATTCATTTGTTCAAAATAAAAAATGTTTAGGGTAAGTTTAGTTTTTAAATGTAAGAAAATAAAATGTTATATCTAATAAAACAAAATTTAATGTTTTGTGTGTTAAGCTGTTTTGGCACTATGCGCCCATACACATGTATGATATGTTAAAGTGTTTTAATTTTTATCCAATTTTTTGTTACATGTTTATTTAAAATCTCTAATTATAATAAAGAATAATAAACATAAACGTTTAGTTGCGTGTTTTTTACTTGGGTTTTTTTTTTTTTTAGTAATTTAAGACTGTAATGGTGATACAATATTTGAACAATCCAGGTGAATAGCATGTTTTACTGTAGACACTAAAGTTATTTATAATCGTATTATTTAATTATTATTTCCTCAATAAAAAAAATTGCTATAGCTACGATGAGTCCCTTCTAGTAGAAAGGGTTGAGAGTATTATTTTAGTTATCTGTTGTACAGTATCTTAATAATTATATATTTAAGGAACATCCCATTTTTAAAATGGAATAGGTGCACTTTTTGCCTAATAAAGTTTACTTTGTGTACTATTTCTGCATATAGAATAAGAAACGGTAACTATAAACTGTAGACTATAGTAACTACAGTCTACATAGATTATAATTTGTCATTACTTGTTTTTGTTGTGATTGTGATAATGTTGTCGTGGTAACAAGTAATATACTAATTTGATATTGTTGATTTGATAACATTGTGGATTGAAGTACTGAATACAGAATGCCTACTCCTTATAGAAAGTACATTAGAGCTAATATGAAGACAATATTAAAAAGTTTACGCAAAAAAAGTGTTTGTGCATTTCTACCATTATCTGTACTTGGGTATTACAGTCTCAACATTTTATACATACTTCCACACTTGTGCGAATCTTACCTATCGATTTGGTACATTATTCACGTTCTACCTATAACATTTATGGTGTTTAATATTTTGACAAATTACTACGCAATGATTTTTGTCGATTCGTCAGTCTTTGGCCGTGTACTTCATACACCGCACAACGCAATAACAAGTATGAAAGTTGAATAGTCATGATAAATTAGTAACTAATATTCAATCAATATCATCAAACAAGTATGTGTGTACCTAATTATTGCATTTTTAGGTTCGACGTATTGTGACGTTTGTCAGTGCATTATGCCTCCAAGGTGTTGGCACTGTGAAGAATGTAATGTCTGTATACTAACCAGAGATCACCACTGCATGTTTAGTCAGACTTGTGTTGGCCACTACAACCGTCGGTATTTTTTGTGGCTTTTGGTTTACTTAGTCGTGAGCTGCTGGTATGAAATTATTTTGCTCGGATTCTATTCTTACAATGAAGTTACTTTCCAACTATCAGACTTACAGATTTTGTCTCCATCAAGAGTGTTGATAATATATCATAGTATTACCAAAGGCCAAGTATTCGTTTTTCTTCTAACAGTAAACATGGCGTCCGTTTTATTTACAACACTTTTATTGATATTCCACCTGGAAAAAGTAAGCGGTGGTTTAGTAGCTCATGACAAAAACTCTGAAAGAAAGTACAATATCGGTATGATTGGCAACTTGAAAACAGTTTTTGGACGACAGTGGTTTATGACTTGGATATCACCATTTGTAGAATCAAACTTACCTCATGACGGATTAAACTGGGACATTTTAACAGAACGGAATAAATTACTTTAATCTAACTTTTTATTTTAGGATTTAATTACATCTTTCCTTTACATTCAAAGAATCTGTGATGAAAAATAAATTATTTTATCTAGATGTAAATTTAAAGACTGTTACTTTTTTTTTAACAAATTAATTTTTGTTGAATATTTTCAAAGCACGAATGCTTTATATCAACTTGTGTATTGTTTTCGTTCAATTATTTATCTAGTCAAATATTCTATTTAACTGTTGTTTATGAACTTTACAGTACACAGTTGGATTATAATAAGAATTTGTATGGACTTGTTGTTTGAAATGTGGTTTTTTTTTCTCAATCCTTGAATATTTTTATTTACACTATCAGTTTTTTGTTGTAACCTGTGAAAGATAAAGGATGGTTATCCTAATGGTCATTTTAAATCATACGATTACAATAAATATATTTATAAAAATAACGTCTTTTTGATGATCTTTAAGTTTGACACAATCAACAAAACAAATCAGAAAAAATTCATTTATTCAACAAATTTTTATTAGGTTTCTAAACAAACAAAAATAAAAGCAATTAACATAACTGATATACTTCTCATTGTGTACAAAAATTTACGGAATGGATTTTATTTATTAAAACAATAATATACAAAATAAAATTATGTTGTAAATAATTACATTTCATTACAAACTATTTGACCAGATTAAATAGATGTGTTGTTTACTTATACAATAGTTAGGTAACATTCAATAATCATTTTCAAAAGAAATAAAAAAAACAATAATAAAATAAAATATAAAATCTTTGGTAAACGAAAAACTTTCGATTTCCACATATAAATCGATACTAAAAACAAAAATACAATACTTTCACTATATTACAATAATACAATTATTACAAACGAAATCCTAATATTTAAGTGCTATTTTGAGATATTTAGTTAAAATTAGTTAATAATGAAAAAGTTGTACAAGTGTTATATTTACTTTAAAACTCAAGTTACAGCTGAATATAGTGTTTTTGTATGCACATTTGTAAATAATAATAAATAAAAGAAAAAAATATTACCTAATATTTTTTTTATGTATGAAATAAATATATACATTTTTATTCTATTAAACAAATAAAAATGTATGAATACAAAAACAATGATATCAAGTGAATTTTAATGTGTAACATACAAAATAATATCAATAGACAATAGTACATTAAGTCATTTGTAAGACAGAATGGGAAAAGGGACCTCTTGATGCAAGAATCCAAATTGCAGGAGAGGCTAAAACATTGATTGGAATACCAACTTTTAAGATTGGAGAACGATTCTAGTTTCAAAATGTTCAGAATTTAGAATAACTAAAAATTTGATTTTTGCAACAAGAGGTCCCTTTTCTCTTTTCATCTCATATTTATTGATTAGTTAAAACTTAACCAATATAAGATAATCTAAACACAAACAACGCAGTAATTAAAAATAAATTACCCAATACCTAGAGTGCTGTGATGTGTAATTTTATAAAAGACATATCTAAAATATTACTTTAAACTGGAAACATTAATACTCAATTGATTTGTCGATGGTGTAATATGTTTAAATTTAAAACAATATACAAAAAATAAACCACAAACACTACTAAAATAAGAAAATTAAGATTAAATAGGTTAAATATATTATTTTTAAAGGATATTAAAAATATTACAAAAAATATAAAAAGAGTCAAAGGAAATAAATAGAATTAGTTATTGCTTGATTTATATTTATAATAATAATTGCTAATAATATAAATGATTAGCTAGTTTACGTATTTTACTCACTCATCAATTTTTGTCATGATTAATTTATGTTTTAATTTTAGAAATTATTAAATTTAAAAAATGCAGTTTTTTAAAAATATAATGAGCTGTGAATATAGTGAAAGTATATTATCTATTTATAATATTAATGAAAAATAATACTTTTGAAATACCTACTTTTAACAATACTATAGTTCTTAAGCTTGACATTTTTTGGAATATTATTGCTCAATACTTAATAATTTCTTCTTGGAGTAAGGTCCTAATAATAGAAATTAAATAATAATAATACCAATATAGGTAGTGAAATTAGAAGAATAAATAATTGATTATAAAATTAATTTAAATAAATTAAATGTTTTTATAAAAACCAGTGTGTGGTTTTATTTTTTGGAATGTTTACTTACCACGCTGATCACTATAATACTAATATAATTTTTAATGTTAGTTAATAGTTTATATTATAAATATTTGGTCATGATTGACAAGCACAAAATCAGTGAACGCATTTATTGGACCAATAGCAGCTAAAGACAGTTGACTACTAGGACTACGCACTAAATTTGGACCAAATACTACTGCTAGGTTCGATGATGTCATTTTGTTTAAATCACATCTATCCATTACCTGAAATCATAGGTTCAATTCAAACGAAATGTGTTACTAGAAATATTTCATAATGCAATTATATTTTATATTAAGAAATATACTTACTTTTGACAAAAATTGTATCAGATATTTGAGTAGATAATAATTATCAAGAGGTAATTTTTCCAACATTAAAACTTTTACTTTTTTTGGGCGTTCATCCCTAAGAAGAGCTGCAGAATAAACAATTTTTATTAACAAATATGAACACAAACATTTAGTACTTTATTGGTAAAATATTTTTAAAAAATCATAACCAAATTTATATTCACTCAAAATTACTTTGAGTATATTGTTGAAAATGTTTTGGATAAATATTAAAATATACATACTTTGAAACTGAGTAATCTCATCAAATAAATCAAATGTCATTAATGGCTCTTCTAGTTCTCTTAAAAACAATTTTAGTAAAACAGCTGCTAGATGTACATCATTTCCAAAGTCGACAGGTTCACCGAGATTAATACGATTTTGCAAATCTCTCACCTTAGTTATATTTGTAGACCTTCTAAATAATCCTTCGGTTTCCAATGCTAATAATGTGACAAAATGTTATTATTATCAGATGTATATATTTTTCACACATTTATGTATATACATATTTTTTTTTTTTTTTTATTTACCATCAGGTTGGCTGAGGTATTCAACACATTGACGTACTAAGGGAGGTATTATTTCGCCGTTGTTGTTAGCTTTTATAAATTGTAATGAAACACCAAATTGTTGAGTTGCCAAAGGTTCGGGTTTCTCTTCCTCTTCGAGTTCTATTTGTTGTGACGCTCTGCCTTTGTTTAATTTTTTCATCAATTGTTCATCATGTCTAACAACAACAATAATAATAAATATTTAAACATTCAACAACAAACTATGGGAAATATGTAAAAACTAAAATGTAACTCACTCTAAAACAGATAGAGGAATGTTTAGTTGATCTAAGTCTATGAACTGTTTAAGTTCTTGTAGATGATTGACGTACATTATTTTCTTACCAAACTTTACACTATCAAACGATTAAATGTAACAATTATTCATTTTATAAATATTATTATTAGAACCAAATGGGTTTGTACCTGATAACTGCTTTGAAAAGTTGCCAGACTACCTTGATGAAACTTGTTGGATGAACCAAGTATAGAGCTTTTAGATTTTTTTTATACTTTCGGTCAAATGCACGATATGCTTGCCATAGCCACGATATTGTTGGTTTATTTTTGCTTGTTAATCCGTGATGAAAATAAACCAAGCTATAATCTTGTTCCACAAATTTATCCAGAGTATACATTAAATACCTAAAAATCGATAAAAAAAAATATATTTTTTTAGGGCTGTGTGATTGTTTTGTATTTAAATTAAACCTAATTAAATGCTTAAAAAGAGAATAATTGATCAATTATTTAATTATCCGCTAAAAGTTTTTTAAACAATAGATTAAATTGTTGATTTTTTTATTATTTGCAAAGCTAATAATTAATTATTCTAAATGTTGATTAATTAACAAATCAATTGGTATTAGGTGTAAAAACTTTATATCAGATTTAATTGGAAATTTATTTTACTACGATTAATTAAACATTTTTTGATTAATCTACATTTTAATATGTACATTTTTCTTAATTAGAGAAATTATTCAACTTTTTGGATTAATGTATAATAATTTGAATTAATTGATAAAAACACACTTCTTTTACAATATTTTTGTGATAATACAGTATACATAGTAAACATTTTCATTAAACAACATACCAATCAGATGCTTGGGAGGTGAGTAAAATATTTTAAGACAGTAAGAACAAATATAATACAATTAATTAGAATTACACACCTTAAAAGTTTAGGGTGATCTACCTCCTTATTACTTGGCAATTTACAAGCCGATACTACAATGATTTTCCGTCCGACCGCATCATCCCCGACCACATCAACTACACCGTACTTGGCAACATCACTGAAATCTTCATCTTCTTTTGCCTAAAGTAAATGACAATACATTATTTTTTACAACGTACTTAAATATATACAAAACCATACACTTATGTGTAGACTTACATCATCGGCTTCTAATTCGTCTAATAGATTTCCTGTTTCTTTATCGTCCAATGCAGTAATCCCTTCAACAAGTTGAGGAGCATTTACCAGTTCTTCTTCGAAATTTTCTTCAATTGTACCATCAGAAACTGGAGATTCCATATAATCTAGTGTTCCGCCAGTTCCATTGAGATTAGCTAGTGATTTTTCCAAATCTATCATAGTGAAAATATTATTTGTTTATAAAAATATGACAACTGAGCTTACTATTAATATTTAACAAGTTGATAAATGGCTTAGTGGGTAAAGTATCAGCATATAAGTCAACACAGACACCAATTTTACACTCAATCGCTAATAAATCCATACGAAATAATAATTAACACATTGAAATACAAAATTATGCTTACCAATATCAGCGGATGGACTTTGAAGCTCAGTATCATCAAATTCTAAATTAGGTTCATAATCATGATAGTCGGAAAGACTAGGATAAGGTTCTTCGTTATTGTCGTTCATCGCCACTAAAAGAATAATTAAAATTATAATAATAACATTTTACGTAATATAAGCATCACTAAATATTCTACAAAATATTTATTTTTAAAGATACTTTTTTTAAATTATTAATACGACAACAGATTATTAAGTAATAATAAGTAGTTTAAATTTAATATAATGTTGTCAAACTTAAAATGCATAGTTTATTTGCTAAATCATTGAAATAAAAATAAACAATAATTTGAATTTTTTTATGAACAAGAAATGTGACTAATGAAGTATTATTATATAAATTTGTCAGTTAAAATCAATTCTAAAAAAAATAAATTTCTCTAATTTTTTAGTTTTTAATATATAATTATAAAATAACATACTACTATATAAATATATTAGTGGAAATATTAATATTTACTGAAACTAAAACCTAATATTTATTAATTATTTAACTCGGTACACACTACACACATTCAACATAAAACATTGTTTTTTTCGTGGCAGTTTTTAATATAAACACTGACTCATAGTGAATTAGATCAATACCTAAAAAGAATAACTACTGTGTAAACACTAACATAATGTACACCTTTTTAGGTTTTTTTATACAATGTCATCAATAATATAAAAAAACATCCAACTAGTAACTGATATAGAAATGATAAAAGATAAGACATAAATAATAACCAAAAAAATTAATAAACAACCAATTGGCTAAACCAATTTGATAGATTAATCAGTAATCATAATAAAAGCATCATTACTCATATCCTGTAAAAACAAGGATCATACATACACCATACTTGTGAACATGTATATATATAAATATATAGTTTTCAGTTATCTAATTTTGTGAATTTAAGTATAATAATGACTAAATGGCCTATCTATATATATATATATATATATATATTTCTGTTTATTAATATTAAAAAATATGAAATGGTTATATAATCGAATAAATTAACTACGCTAAATAACAGATAAATAAATATAGCTGCGAATAGAAAAATTATACACTATGACGATTCATTTAAACTTAGTCGTGGAAATCAAGAGACAGCGAAACTGTGCAAGTTTTAAATATGGTCGTTGTTTTCAGTTTTTGATAAATAAGTACATCCAAATAATTAGTATGTTGATAATTGTCTACTCGGTAGATATTAAAAGATTAACATTGAACAAATCTAGCAGATGGTTAATCGTAAGATGTGTTTTAAATCACCATATTATCATTACCTGGGAAATATTTGCTGGTAGGTTGAACCCTTGGATCCATGATCTTGGCGGTATAGGCTTAATAGGTGGGTGCTGAGCAGAAAAATAATTTGCTAAGGAGGCCCGCTTGGCTATATCATTGTGCCGATCTCAATAGAAAATCCGAGTAAATGAAACGCACTAACCGTAGACCGACAACAAAGACACAGTAATTAGCCTGTTACTAATATAACGGTGGGCATTGGAGCCTGAATAAAGTGCGGTGGAAAATAAATAGAACGAAAATTAAACGAAACACGAATGATTCATTTCGTAAACATACAGCTATACAGATTGCAATGCCAATATTGTAAACACAAAACACCTGTTTTCCGTCATGGAGATTGCCGTTGATAAGAACATCGGCCTTCAAGTCTGATAATTCGGAAGCGAGAGAAAAAATAAAATAGAATTCCTAATTGCTGCAGTAATTTATTCTTGGTTGAGTTTTTGATCGTATATACGTACTGCGATCTAACGGCCAATATTGAACTATTATTGTAGCTGTTGTGGCCGGTGGATTTCCTTCTTGATTGATCCCCACCTTCGGTAATAGCATTGATACTACCAATGAGCCTGAGGTAATTTTAATAGGTATACTGTAGTGATCATAGTGATATGATTGATCAGATGTTAACCCCTAGACCTTATACTATAGTATAAAATCTATGTGTTAACCTAAAGGCTAAAGGTGTCTCGATTGAGCCCGCTACTGTTGGGTATACTAAGGTGCTAGTTAAGATACTATAAAAATAATTAATAATATAAAATATATAATTTTTTTATAGTATGATACAGTGGCGGCGCCAGAACTTTTCGTCCGGGTGGGCCAAGCTGGGGCAACTGATTTATAGGAAGGGCTAGTGGCGCAATAAAAATCGCCTTACCTATCGGGTGGTAAAGACTTACAATATTATAGGTTAATAAAAAATAAAGGTCACTATCGAGGGTAATACCTGCCAATTTTTAAAACTTCAAAACCCTCTCCTCCCTCTTTGGTACGTTACTGAGTAAAGTCATAATATATCCACCAATTAAGCAACACTTCTTGAAAAAATATAACAATTAACATATATTTTCAAAATTACAATACTACAATATAACAATGCTTTATAACATTTAAAATGAACAAAATTTATTATAAAAACCACACAATTACAAATTTACAAATAATAAAAAACATTTAATTTAATTAACAATGATAATAATGATATTTATTTTACGGTTATTGTGAGAATCAGAAAATCTATTTATTATATTTTAAATATTTAAAAGTTTAGCTTCTGACTTTTCAATAGAAATAATTCTTAAATTGGAAAGATTTATTTGTAACGTCGAATTTCTTAGATATGTCTTAATTCTTTTCATACAAGAAAAAGTTCTATTGTAAAATTAATAAATACCTACATAAATATACTCATTTATCAATTTATTTATTAATAAAACCACGAAAATAGGATTTCGACTATTTTGTGTAGTTGGCCGTTTCCAAAATGTATGAGTTCGAATTAAATGTACAACCAGTCGGCGCTTAACTTAAGCTAAGTATGTAGGACAAAGTAGCAGAAAACCGTATAAATTTGCAGTGGTCAATTTTCTCATAACTTTAAACATAAATGGTTATAGTTACTTAAGTAAATTTTTTAGCATGTACCTAACATAATGCACGTAGCATATTGATAGTACTGAAACCGACAAATACCTTTACCAAATAATTATTTAGGAATAAAAATTCCGAGTTTGACAGGAATTTTAACTTCGACGTGGAGTTGAGAAGGTATTGGTATTACAATCATGTTTTTTTTTGTGTATGTACACGATAACTTTTTTTTTGACATTGCTGTAAAGGTATTAATTAGTATTTTTATATTATTATAAAATTGAAAACTTATTGATCTTAGATGTACAGTGTAATGTGGACTAAGATAGGTTAAAATATCAAACTTTAAGTCAGGCTAGACCGCTGAGGCCTACTTGGAATGGTGGAATAGTTTTTCAGAACGTAATCATAAGTGGTTTTTACTTTTTCTTTGTATGATTTCTGGTTCACGTAATTGGACTAACAGTAAAATATCATGCATAAGCCAAAATTGTGAATAGGTAAAAAAAATCACATCATTGTAAAACTAATGCCTTTCAGCTTCGCATAAACGTATCGGTATTGGACCATTAGAGTTAATGACACATTGAAACGCCATATAATACCTTCCAGCTCTGAAACTGTATAGGTACCTAACTCGATTATTGTATTAGTAACAATACAAAATACATACAGCACAATTGTCAATTTGTATTTTTATTGTACATAAGTACGATGTAGGTAAACGCTACTAAGGTCCGTAGCGCTTTTGTCAACTAGGTAGGTTACAACATCTTGAGTCACAATAATAAAAAATGCAGGACCTGGACCATCTTAATAGTAAATATTACTCGAGGTTTATTATCACTGATTTTGATTTATAATATATAGATAAATGTCAAGCTGTCCAATTGTTAAAAACAGTAGTAATGGTCATACTATTATTATGCATTCGTTATTCGTATTTCAGGAATGATAAATGTACAAAGGAGGTCCCGCATTATATCAATAAATACCCATCTTAAATACATGTTAGCCACCATTCATTTTAATAATAATGCGGTTAATCTGTTAAAAACCGATTGACTGTATTCACTATATAGTCATTAGGTCTAAATTAAAATATAATTTGTTATTGCGAACATTACCAGTATTGATCGCAGGAAGGGGCAATATTTCAATTATCTTATGTACTTATATTGAATATATTTTAAGTATTTAATATACATTTTTCTAATTAGTCATTCTTAATTTGGTCAATTTTATAAAGTTGACAAAAAAACCATGTAATGTCCTCAAAATTAGAAAACCTATTATCAATTTAAACTATAGTAAAAAAATAGATTTATACCAAAAAATATACCTGCCATATTGCTACTAAATTTTATATTTATACTAATCTATATTTTAATAAATAAAACAATGATAGCTGTCTCAATAAAAATAGTATTTTACTGTAGTTTACCTTTTAAATATTTATTATAAACATTTAGAAATAATAATTAAATTATCCGTAGTATACATTACGTGTACATAAAGTAAAAATATTGTGAGAATACCATATTTTTTAAAGTATTTTAAATTATAATTGACATAACGTACTCGAAGTTTGTAACACGTGTTGTTACTATTGCACGAAATGTCAAAATCTAACTTGGTAAAACAGTTTAGTTAAGAAAAGCGGTTTTGTTTTAAAAATATATATTGTGTAATTAAATATTTGACCAGTTGTTTTTTTAGTACGCGTTATCACACTGTGTAGTATTTCAAAGTTAAAATATTACAAGTTACGTATTTTGCCCATCCACGGTCCGCTTGATAAACAAACGTTTTCTTATAAAACGATGTATGTAGATCGCGTTAGGGAACGGGGATATTTCACTAATTGGCAATTACATTAGTTTTTTGATACAAATTAAAAACCATTGAATTATTGAAAATATTATCCGGAGTGATTATTTCATCCAGTGAAATACTCGAATGATTTCATCTACAAAATTAGTCCCAGTTCCTTGATGACGTCGAGCGTAACGACTCGTCTCGTCAGTCCGGGAAGGAAGTGGGCATAGATAAGTATACAAGTGTGAAGTATGGAAGTGGGAGACGAGAGTGGTTCCATTGTGGGTCATGGGATCGAGTTGAAAGGCGCTAGGTGAGCTGGTCGAGCTGAGAAGTAAAGGAATGATGAATGCGATTGGTGGCACAGCTGCTGCTGATAATATTATGTAAGAACAACGTTGTTTTATATATCTGCGGTGGCGTCATAAAGTTTGTGTTATCAGCCAATGTCCCATGGAGCTGTTGTTGTAAGCCACACGGCACGTCTGGAGTCTGCCGTTGCCAACTTCGGTTCGTTCACGAGCTATCGTCAGCTGGTACCCACGCACGCACAGTGCCACCGACGTTGTCGTCAATCGTCATTCCACGTTCGTCCTGTCCGCGTGCGTGTTGTCGGTGTCGCGCCGTCGACGCCTTCGATGCCGTCGAATTGACAAAAAACAATTAATATAATTTATATATATTTATATATAATATTATACAAAAATAACAGAAATTTGAATATTTTTATTCAGTCCGTTGCTTATCTACGGGACGCGGTTAAAAGTGCGTGGTCCGGTTGAAGTACAAAATAGTACACAAACGTGAAAATAATTGTTTTGTTTATTATTTATCTTTAAAATATTGTTATTCGTATAGTTTATTATTATTAAGTATTATAGTTTTTTAATGTATGCAATATAATAGAATGAAAGCTCTTCGGAATTTCATTTTATGACCACTATGGATGTATAAATAGCCGATCTGAATACACGCACTGCCTACTTATTTCAAGGTAAGAAAATACAGTACATAGATTTAAAAACAAAAAATAGAACCGCTCACGGTTGGTATTTTTCTTCCTATAGGTTTTTAGTTCTTTAGAAAGTTAACCATATTTTTGACCCACTTTTACTTTTGACTTTCGTACCAATAAAAACTGCCTAGTGTGATCAAGTTGCAGAATGGCCCTGAAAAGTTGTACCACAACATTAATTAGCTCGGTACTCCTCGTCGAGTTACAATTGATGGTAGTAGCAGTAGTAGTAGTTGAGTAATTTTCTTATAATAACTCGACCGGTTCGATTTTTTTGCAAGTAACGGTTCTACTCGTTTTTTTTCACACTTATTTCCCGTGAATAATAAACCATAGCCGTGAACTATAGGGGGTTTTCTTTTTTATAATATACCTACTTATGTACCAATGGAGAAATACACCCACCAATTATTATAGATAGACTAGAAATAATTATTGTTAATCCTTACGAAACGCACGTCGATTTAACGTGCACTATTATTGTACATAATATTAAGTGCTTTGTATTAAGTCGTTAACCGTTAAGCTGCCGAAAATTATACAATAATGTATACAAATAATAATATACAAGTGTGTGTATATACAATATTCTAGATGACCTTTTAACAGAAATGCATACACACCGCACAGGCCTCCCCCCATATCTGGTCATGCGGTTATGTTGTCGATAACTACGTAGAAGTCAACACGCCGAACAACAACGCATAATGAGTGTAATTACATGCCACTGGTATAACACGAATGGGAGGTAGTCGACGTCACGATCTTTTCTTCGGCGACAGTTGACGAAAGGAACACATATGTGAACCGTAGTAGGACTTGTTCATCCCCCGCATAGTACCTTTTTTGTAGCACGTGTATCCCTTTCACCGCAAACATATTTACAATGTAACACACTAGAACGCCCCAAGTGGGGGGTTAGAACACACTTACCTACCTATACAAATGTGTGTGCTCGTAGCGAAAGGGGTATACAGTACCTAGGAATGATAAAAGTTTTTCAAACAGCTGGAGGTCTCTTTTTGTGTGTGTTTTTCCAACGACAATATTATTATAACGAACCAGTTTTCTGTGGAATATTAATTAGTATTTACCATTATTATTATTATTATTATCATCATCATCATCGTCATTGAAACAATGAACGTAAGGTATAATAAATTAAAATAAAAAAAAAGTAATAATTAACGCGCAAGATATATTAACATATTTTTCTATAACATGGGTACCTATTTAATATGTATTGTAGTTTATACGTTGTATTGTGCTACAGCCATATGCACCGGTTTGATATTCGTATGATCTCGCAATCGCCAAACTCCTCCGTTAGTTTACAGCTGCAGTCTACATATCTATACTATTATTCAATACACAAGCACTCGTCGCTAGATAACCGTAAAAGTGCACACTCCACGTTGGCTTGCACGTGTACACTTATAATATAACTACTCTAAAAGCTTAGGTTAAAAGCAGCGTGAATCGTGATGGTACAAAGGTATCCTAATATATTTGATTTTAATATAAATTATAATAAAACGACATTCGACTTGGTAACGTTTAGCATTGATCCACGTCGCGATCGGTCGACTAGAACGGTGGCTTTCTATTGTACAGTTGTTTTCCTAATATGAGGAAATTGGAAGTGAGTAATGACACAGTTATAACTTATAATAATAAAGAAACGCCGGTCGCTTCCATACGGGCTTGTGTACAATTATTATTCATTTACAGGCGTTATAATAATAAACAGAATCACGATAAATAAAAAATAAATAAAACATCCACATGCCCTTTTGTACCTTTAATACCATGTTTTATTATTTAATCAAAAATGCTGCGGTTGGGTAATAGGGGAAGGGGACACCGGATAAGGGCTGTTTTAATATAACAGTCTCAGCATGCTGTAGAACATAATAATATGGAACAATTGTTATTGTATTATTTGCTTTGCCGAAAACCACGGTTGTGTTGCAGACAGATATTACGTAACCAACTCTCTATAGCAATGCTATTGACTTAGAATGGTTTCGAAGCCGTATAATGTCTTATCACCCAGTCGATAATTTGCCACTTAAGTTTCTATACAGGGTGCAGAGAGAATCATAATAATATATTAATTTGTTCATGAAATATTTAATATAATAGTGTATTGATTTTTGTTTTTAAGAAGTTGTGTAGTTTGGTGGTTTTTTCTGCGAAGTTGATTTTTACTATTTTTTTTTCTTCGTACATTATGCATTCGGTTTAAATGTGTTTCCGAAAGCTTTTGGGATTACATCACACGATGTATATATTCGCGATTTTATTTTTTTGCATTTGGCCGATTATGGCGACCACTTGAGAGGTCAGTGGCACATAAAAATTGATAAATTTGTAATGGTTCGATAAAATTGTACTTCGGTCTAAAAGGGTTAAGGCCCTATGGGTTACATCAATGTTTAAGCAACTGCGTTCAGCATTAGTCTGTTGATAATAATACTTTTGGTGTTGGCCGGGGTTGGACTGCTGGCAATGTAATTTGGTCGTGTACTGTAATCTCGTATCACCCTGTACCTACAGTCCTCCTGTAAGTCTAGTCGGGTTGACGCGCTGCAAGTCCAAACGTTCCCCAGAACGACCCAGTGGAAATGAGCGCGTTACATTATAACTTGAATTGATTTATAAGTTTTACGGTTCGCGGGAATTTGCAAACGCGGGGCCCTGCAGTTTAGTTTCGGATCTATCGCAATGTTTGGACGTTTGTTTATTATTTTTATGTGTTTCGCTGGAACTCGTGGCCGCGTTGTCGTGGCCGGCGACGTCATCATCGAGCGCGTCCGAGAACGTGGGCCGTTGCCCGGCCAACGGCATCGTATACCGTAACCGAGGCAACGGCAATAGTGTTGCCCCGTGCGACCGACCTAAATGCCACCACGAGTGTTAAGGCTCGAGATACAAGTAGACAAACAAAAAAAAAAAAACATTCTAAGGAACACATGCAGCCATACACAGTAGGCGAGAAAACGAGAAACGAGCTCGACTCCGAGACACCAAATTGTACACCAACAATTTTTGAGTAGCCTCGAATGATTTTATATGTTATTATATAATATTGTTGGTTTGTTAAAAAAAAAAAAGAGCTTAAAGCAACTTTTGGTAAAACGGAGATGTGACCCTGTTTTTTTTTTTATCGTATTTAACTTCCTTTTACCCGTACAACTCGTTTTCGTAAAACTTAACATACTAGTTTTTATTTTTATTTCGTCTCGTCACGTATACTTTATACATAAACATTTAAACATGCACACGAGCCAATCAATTATCAAATATTATATACTTACTATTAGAAAATAAAAAAACAATTAGCTATAGCAACCTTAGCAACATTATCTAGTTCAGTTTAATTATACCTAAAATTGTTGATATTGTTTAGCGAGTAACTTTTAAGTTCAAATATTGTTGTTGAATTACCAAGTTTAACGAAGCTAACGTGTTACTGGAATATAAGTGGTGGTAACTTTTCAATTACTTGTTTTAGCTTGGATGTGAGAAGGCTTTTTAAGGGAGTAGCCTGTAAAGTGTACCTGTAGAAAACCATATCCAATAAATATAATTAAATTAGTACTGACAATATATTGTTTATGTTTCATCTTTGAAGAGTAACTTGTTTTCAATTTTAATTCGATTTTCGTTTATAAAATGTAATATAATAACCCTTTGTCGAACATTTTATGTAGGTACCTTCATATTTTTTTACACATTACCGGAGGATACCCAGCCCAATTATTGTAATATGTAAATAACGTTGCTATAATAACTTACCCGTTATAATGTGTAAAATAATACTTTTTCATCGCATTCAAAAGCTCCCGTGCCCTTTGCTGCTTTAGAAAAAACTGGCCACACAAAAACCCGACTATATAGAGTTAACGTTTGCTGAGATAAACATTTGTGCTTTATATTCTATGTGTTATGCAATGTAAAATATTCGTCGTTATTTATTTTATCGCTTCTGTTGGCGACGCAAATTAGTATTTATTCTTAAGTGTTTCGCAACGGTATCTCTAAATAAAGACGGCTAATATATATAAGCCAAGTCGATGTTGGAAATTCTATAATCGCATAACTTAAGACGTGCGACGAAGATGAACGTACCAACGCTGCGCATTGTATAAGAGCTCGTTCGCACTCCCCACTGTTTGCTTTCTTACCACTTCCACTACCGCTTTTGTCAAATAGCACAGGCACGTGAAGTAAGACCGATTCAAGGATGCAAAAAACATCCGTAAACCAACGTTTTCTATATTTTAAAGCGACTACGTTATTCATCAACAACGCAACGGTGCCAAGGTCACCCACACGCGACGCGTGCACATCTAAAACACACCCAATATCCACTCTAGGGCATCTAGGATATTATTTTCACATAAAACCGGAATTAACATGGGAAATTACAATGTAACTTGTAGAACACGCATTAAAAAATACCGTTTTTAAAAAAATGCATTTAAAATATTCTTTTATTTTTAAATATATATAAAAAAAAATATGTTTCCTTAAAAGTAATCTAAAACAATGTATTACGTTTACAAATGCAATAACAAAATAAAGTAAAATGGTAATGTCAAGCGTAAACTTCTGAAAATAAATATTTTTTATTATTCGTATTTAGTTCACAAAAAATAGGTACAACTTAAAATTAAAATACACATGTAATTATGTTTGTGTATTTGTAAATAAATATTATTAAAAACAAATTGTCTCTAATTAAATATTTCACAAATTAAAACAGCTACCAAAAACTTAAGTTCTATCATTTAATGTCATTAACAAAATAATGCATAATCCTAATTTCAGATTATAAAATATATAAATAATAGAAGAAAAAAAGCTAGTACAGTGGGGTTGGAGAGGTCAACGTTTTTTGGAACTAATTGGACTATTTTGAAAAAAGATATGGAGCGCCGTAATTTTAAGTTAAAAAAAAATGTAAATTTTTC